CCCCCCTCCAACTCCTGGAACTTTCTCCAAGATTGTTTGAACTTTCTATACCTCCAGGTTGAGGAAACTATTAAAACTGCGGAGACACTGCTAGGGGATCTGTCTGGGTTCAAGAAGTTCAGGAAGGATGCACAGGAGCTTCAGGATGAGTTATTGAACTGGCGGACAGAGACCTACGACGACTGGACTCGCGACATGCTTGATCGCATCAACGACACCAGGGAACCACTCAGGTACTCACGTTGTCTCGTGTTTTTCATTGGGTTTGAATTCTTTAAAAAAGACCCAATAGTCCAATAAAATGTCAAAGTTTTTCTTTATACAAAAACAATGTACATAAAATAATAAAAGTTTTGCAGGTCTTAACTTAGTCAAAAAACAGATATATAATCCTGTTTCGTCTGATAAAGGTTGCATGGTACATTAGAGATTAATTCTGTAAATATTTTTGTTGATAAACTTAAACTTCAAAAGGAAAGGCTGTGATGTACTAGAGATCACCCATCCAGCCACTGACCATACTTGCTTAACTATTGAGTTAGTCTCAGGGTTATACCACATCGCTGCTAAAGCAAGTTTGCCAGTAAGACAGCATTTTCTGTCATATTCCTTGGTTGTTATAATACTATAGCAATGACAAATTTTGAGTAGTGGACATTCTATACATTTTAGCTTGGAAACTAATGGTCGACTAATGGAGTTGAACCACAACACCGGTAAACTACGGGTGAACTACGGCGACCGCCTGGTGACCTTGATGCGAGAGGTCAGACAGCTTGGTTCCATGGGATTCGTCATCCCTGCCAAGATCATGCACGTTTCCAACACGGCACAGAAGTTCTACAGGCATGGTGTGGTACTCAAACAGGTAAGAGGCATGATGTCATACTTAAACAGAGGTATAGCCTCATACTTTACGAGGTCTTAACGTCTATCACAATGTTCATGCAGTTACAAAGGACTAGGGGCATTGAGTGGTGTAGAAATTATTACTATTTATGTTGAAAATTGGCCATTTTGAAACAAATTAAGAAAATACTGTTCAATTTTTTGTAAGCCTCTGCATGCACCAACCCAATTGATATTTGGCATTCTTAAACATTGTCATACCAGTGGTCGTTCCTAGAAAGGAGTATTTGGATGTTGCATGCAGAGGCTTTCATTTCTGCATGCTAACTGTTCAATAGTACCCTATTTAAGGTCCTTAAACATTAAAAAAAAAAAATGTTTCTTACATATCCTTTTGTTTTGCATTTTTCTTTTTGCATATTTTTGACAGAACTAGAAAGTAACATGTCGATCAGAATTTTGAAAACTCCTACCATCTTAAAATACTGTAAAAACCTGCCCTCTTTTCATTTTCCACCTCAATTAACGCCAACATATTTCAATGTTCCTTTTTATTGTTTTCTTAAGAATTCCTGTATACATTTCCCTCAATTTATCACCAAACCCCTGTATAAAGCCAACATTTCTGTATAACAAGGTTTTACTGCATACGTAAACTTTTTCAGAATTCTTGTTATTTCTAGCCAATTTGGAATTTTTTTAATGAAGTGCTTTGTGATGGTGGAGAACTGAACTTGATGTTATGCACTCTTTAACAGGTGGCCCATTTCTACAACACAATCGACCAACAGATGATCACAAGTCAGCAGGCTATGATGCTCAACTCTGCCCTCGCATTTGAAAAACTCGTCAAAAATCCAAAGTCTGGTAAGTTACCATTTCATTTAAAGACTTATTATATTTTAGACAGCTAATCGTCTAAGTAGCAAAGTATAACCTGTTTTGCAAACAAGATAACTAAAATTTTAGGGTAAAGAAATCAGTTATGTATGTTGTATTATGTATTCTGAATTGAGACAAAAGCATTTTGAATTAATTTTCTCAGTTTCTCACTTAAGGTGATCAAATTGTAATATAAAACCTGAATTTTTCAACAGTTGTTTCTTATAGGAATATATTTGGGGGGAGGATGGAGGGTTCAGAGAGGCACTTTGACAATATATGGGTGGTGGGTCTAAAATATTTGTATGATATGTAATTAAAAGAGGGAAAATTTAAATTCTATGTGATGGGGATTACAGAATGTGCCTCCCTACTCCCATACGTTCATTTTTGGACAAATTTATTAAGAGTCATGGCCATGGGCACTTATGTAAACAGGGTTCTCTTTATATTTGTAGTAATGTGTAGTATTATTAATTTCCAGGGAGTAAGTCTAAGGGAGAGAATGTGGAGATTACTTGGGACAATCCCGATGAACTTGACCACTACATCAAGAAGCTGCAGAAGGCAGCGGAGAGACTGACCACTGAGAACCGCCGACTAAGGAAGTCACACAATACTGTCTGTGACAAGGTAGGCACATATATCTGTAACTAGAATGAAGATAACAGAAATAAATAAAGATCATATTTTATTGATTATTTGTCAGTTTCTTAGGCCTTGAGTAACAGAACAAAAATCTAAAACTCTAGGGGGTAGTTTGCTGTCGAGTAAATTATAAGTTAAAGTAGAGAATAGGGTTACATTCAAGTATCCCGGTTGAAACGGTTCAGGTGGTGCAGAAATATTCCACGATAAATAGACGCACTCGGACCAAACTATAGTCAGAGCTAAAAAATGCACAGTTTCGGAGAATAAATAACAATGTATCAAGAATAATATGTCCTTATTTCACGTGTCCACTAAATTATATAACGTATCCTAAAATCTACATGTGGTTTGATTTATAAAGAAATAAAGCAAACTCCCAAAAGTAAGCATTTTAGTTTCGGTTAAGCACGTCTGGACCCCTCAATCTACATGTGCCGAATATTCCTAAGGTCAGCCTCGGTTCAGATCTGCGCCTGTTGTTTTCTTTTAGGTTCACCTGTTTCAACTGGTTGAATTAGATACACCAAAGGGGGCTTAGTATGTAGTTCTAGGGAGAATGGTTAGGTGTAGGGAGAATGGCTAGGTGTAGGGTGAATGGTTAGGTGTAGGGTGAATGGTTAGGTGTAGGGGGGTGGTTAGGTGTAGGGTGAATGGTTAGATTTAGGGAGAATGGTTAGGTGTAGGGGGGGGGGGGGATTGATGATTGGGAGTGGTTACAGTACTGTTGTAGTTGTAGGGTGAATGGTAAGTTGTTTGGGGAGGGGTAAGTTTTAGAGAAGTGATTGATGGTTTAGAGTGGTTAGTTGTAGGGTGAATGGTAAGTTATTAGGGGAGCAGTAAGTTTTAGAGAAGTGATTGATGGTTTAGAGTGGTTAGTTTTAGGATGAATGGTAAGTTATAAGGAAAGTGGTAAGTTTTAGAGGAGTGATTGATAGTTTAGAGTGGTTAGTTGTAGGGGGAATGGTTAATTGTTAGGGGGAATGGTTAGGTGTAGGGTGAATGGTTAGGTTTGGGGGGGGGGGGGGGGGGGTGATTGATGATTGGGAGTGGTTACAGTACTGTTGTAGTTGTAGGGTGAATGGTAAGTTGTAAGGGGAGTGGTAAGTTTTAGAGAAGTGATTGATGGTTAAGAGTGGTAAGTTGTAGGGGGAATGGTCAGTCGTTAGGGGGAATGATTAGTTGTTAGGGGAGTGGTAAGTTGTAGGGGGAATGGTTAGGTGTAGGGGAGTGGTTAGTTGTAGGGGTAATGGTTAGTTGTAGGGTGGTTGGTTAGTTGTAGTGAGAGTGGTAATCTATGTATAGTGTGATAAGCTGAAGGAAAACTGACTAATTAAAAGGAAGTGGTTCATATATGGGTGTGACAAGCTGTTGGAAGAGCAACTAATTATGAGGGAGTGGTTAAAATAGGGTAGATTGCAGGCTAATGTTAGGGTGAGACCTTGATCATACTTGAAAAATAATTCATCAATAATCAAAGAGTCAGCTTCATGGTGACCAGATCCTATCAGGAATATAATATGATAATTGTTGAAAGTTGTCTGTGGAAGCACCTGTCTTCTGAACTCCCACTAATGTTACTGTCCTTGTGATCAAACTGATCAGGTATATGTAACTAATCCATATGACATTTTGTCCACACAGACCCAGCAAATGATGGGCATAGACCTGCTGAGACAACAACAGAAGTGGAAGGATGGACTGATGGACATCCGTCACCTCATGGCCAACCTCGTCCAACAGGTCAGGCAAATTAACTGCGAGGAATAGAATCTTGTAATCTTGTTCTGAGTTACATATAACCTTGTCAGTGGGGTTAGATTTATGGAATTTTTTTTTTGTGTCTTGGAGGTGATTATCCTAACATTTAGATTGATATATGTGTATATGAGTTATAAAATCATGTTACGATATAAGGAAGATTCAAAATAAAAACAATCCAGAGGGAAAAAGAAAAATATAAAAGGTTATACTACTCTATATTATCTTATCATTCCTGGGATTGGTGTCAAGGAAAATTTGAGGTAAAAAAAATTGTAGGGAGAAAAGAAATATTTTCAATAGAATATATACTGATTCGTAATATTTAATAATAATAATAATAATTCAAGATTCTTATATACCGCTTTATCACAACCTGGTTCGTAGGTCGTCTCAAAGCGGTTCGCAAATTATTATCCGTGGTTATAGGGCCTTTGCAACCAGCTAATACCTTTCTCAACTCCCTGGGGGGCATACAGCCGGAGCTGCCATTTCCGCGCTAACAGCTAGCATTCAACAATTCTAGCACTGCGATGCCTTGTTAGCTGATTGAATTTCTTTTTATCTATAGGGCTTTTCCTCGGACAACATGAAGCCATGGAAGGCCCATTGGGACCGACAGCTGTACAAAGCTCTGGAACATCAGTACCAGATGGGACTGGAGGCTCTCAACGAAAATCTGCCGGAAATCAAGGTTGAGCTTACCTTCAGACAACAACAGCTGCAGTTCCGACCTCCATTTGAGGAAATCAAGGCCAAATATTTCCGAGAGATGAAGAGATTCATTGGCATCCCTAGCCATTTTAAGGGTGTAGGGGACGAGGCGGTAAACCTCATCTTCCCCGCAATCATTGACAGGAATGCTGAAGGTTTCATCACCTGCTACAGGAAAGCTGATGTCCTCTTTAAACGTCTGTATGCCGCTCAGGAGCAATTCAAGGTAAAATACGGGCACAAATATTTTTTTATTCTGTTCATTTGTTACCATATGAATGGTGATGAAAATCAAATGTTGTGTTAACCTTTATTTCATTTCGGAGAAGAATATCATTCATTGGTTAAGTTTCCTCTGGACCACTGAATTAAGCTGGTTTCGCAAAGTTTCAAATTGTAGAGAGTCAACTTGTTATACCTTTCCTTATAATCCTTTGGCTGGTGAAGAAACAATTTCAGATTAGATATAACATAACGCCCAGTTTAATTAGACAGAATATACTGTAAATGGTTTTGAACATATAAAACAGAGTTATCAAAAATTTAAGTGTAAAGTACTTTTTTGTAAACTATTACAAAAGGGTTTCAGCTTGCCGCCATATTTGGATATATGACTTCCTAAAATGGCTTTCCACCCTCAACATGTTGGAGGTTTGCTATATATGTATATAAGGGTCATAATTTGTGACTTGTGTCTGATATTACCCCTTTTATGTCCAGCAAAAACACCGAAAATGTGATCTCCCTAGTATGTATTGATCCTGTTGCTACTTTTCTTATCCTCGACTCTTGATCCAAATCTTATTTCATGACCTATCATAATAAATTTTCCTTGTTAACAGGAGTGGGTTGTCCTAGGGGCCATAGACCTGGACCAGTTTGTGGAGGATAACCTAAAGGAAATCTCCGACTGGGAGAGGAACTTCAAGGGCCTCAAGGCGCGTGGAAGGGATGCAGAGAAACTCCCACAGTATGTAGCTTTTCAAGTGTACTTGATTGGAAAGTGTCCCGGTACTGTGTTTGTTATCGCCTAGTTATCTTTACCTTGATTTACATGGGCCGCATTCGTTATGGCGATCCAGACAGTTGGACCGGTTGGATCAACGTTATTCATTCATGACCTAGTAATGTAATCTGCTGCTTTCAGGCGAGCCTTGACAAAGCCTTGCATAAACATTTGCAGGTCTGCCAGGATTTATACCAGAAAATGTTACATTTAAAAACAGACAAACCAGTTGAACCGGATATATACAAGGGGCCATGCTGCTCTAGGCAGCACTAGAAACACCCCTACCATATTGTAAATAAAAAAAATCAAGATGATAGGCAAGGGAAATAGTCTACGTCAACTGTTAAAGAAAGGGTTTTTTCTTTAATAGACAATTTTAAATAACTCCACACTCTTGTGGAAAATTGCCTTCAAAAATTTAAGTGAAGGGTTGCTTTGTTGGTGAAGCTGTGTAAATGATAAAAAGGCAATTGGCTTTGTGATATCTGAAGTGCTTTTACAAAATCTCTTGCCTCTAGTTTTATTTTTGAATTAAAATTTATTCAGATAAAATCAGAATTGTCACAGTAAAACTGAACCAACATGGTTTTCGCCTGGGAAGTCAGAAGATATCATCACAATGAAATAATATGAAATGGTGCTGAAGTATTCAAAGTTGTCAATAAATGTACAAATCCCTGCTCCCTATAAAGACCAAATTCTTCAGATTTGTTCACTGCAATCCAAACTGAAAAAAAAGCTTTGATATAGTATAACTTTGAAATTCTTTTGTAAATAGCCAGTTGAAGATCGACTGTCTGACTGTCAACACCACACCAGTGAAGGCCGTCATTGATGACCACATACAGCGTCTGTTTGATGCCCTCGTCAACTCACTGCGTAAGGCCATCGCTCATGATGTGACCACCATTGACACCTTCCTCAAGGGTGCCATGGAAACGCTTTCAGCCAGACCACAGACGGTAGAGGAGATCGGGGAAGCTAATGCGAAGCACGCTGAGTTTGCCAAAGAGCGCAAAGTGGTAAGTTGTTGTCCCTTCTGACAAAAGGAAGGAGGGATTTAGAAGTTGATGAAATCTTATATAAAAAAAATATGTTTGCATAAATTACATTAAGTTGTAAAACTATTTTCTATAGGGCTTGCACAACTAAATAATGAACTATATGTTATTACTAAACTTTTGAGCTAATAGCTTTAATATTTGAAGTTCAGCATTTTTGACAACTACAGTATCTAGATTCAAAGATACATACTGACAAAGGCTTCAAAAGGCATGTTTTGGCGGGTTAAGTGGCATATAAGAGCGCTACATGTATCTACTTTTGACAACTGGAAGTTTACAAGCAAAACTGGTGAAGTGGGTCGGGAACACCACCTGACTTTTGACCCCATATAAATCCACCATCACATATCAAAATCAACTAAAACTACATTCCAAACTAAATATCTGTAGATTTCATTCATTAAAATATATGTCAATATTTGCACATTCAAATCACTCAGAGGCACTGTATTTAACCAGAACAAATTTTAGGTAGGGATTACAATATTGTATGAAACACTTGCTGATTGGCTGATTTAGTTGTGCAAGTGCTATACCAGAGTTTAAATAATAATAACTTTCATTTAAAAACAGGTTCAGCCACTGTTTGAGCGAGCAGACTCCAAGAACAAACTGCTGCGGTCTGTGGCCGGAGGCGGTGTGGATTCTCTGAACCAGCTACAGGGATTCTGGGACAAGTTTGAACTCATGATGGAGAGCCATCAGCTGATGGTCAAGGAACAGGTCAGTGGTCACCTCAAATACCTGATAAATAAATATCAATGTTGTTATGGTTATAGGTTCAATACCTTGTGAATATAAAACTGATTTTACTACTTGGTGACTAGATATAAAAAAGAAAATCATAAATCTAATATTATATTAACTCATTAACCCCTGAAGACACATTTGAACGCTTCCAATTCAAAGGTTGGACTAGTTCATTATAAAATTTCAGGAGTGAATGAGTTAAGAAAATATTGCTGATTAAAGAAATTGTAGATGATTAAATTCATTTTATCGTGCTAACTCCTGAACCTTTAATTTGTGAAAAAAGTTTTAAAAAGAGAGGGTTTTCTAAGTATTTTACATTCATTTACAATGTAATTCAATGTAGAAAATATAACAAAAAACATACATTCATTCTTCAAACTACACTTTCTTATACCCATGTAAGTTATATGTAACATATATTGAAAATGATACGCTATAATCACTTTCGCTTAATTTTTCCAGGTGGACGTGATGAAGAGTAACGTTGACTCTCGTGTGAAGGCCTTCACACAGGAAGTGGAGAAGTTTGCTGCTAGGTGGCATCAGCTGAAGCCAGGGGATGATGCACTGGACGGCAACCAGAAGAAGTGCGAAGCCGCTGTGCAGATCATCAAAGACAAACGACAGGAATTCGCCGAACTGGAGAAAAGCAGAGAGTCTCTTGTGTAAGACTAGTTTAATCTTAAGGATGAAGCACAGTAAATTCCAGCTTTGTTTTATTTTAGCTTGTTTTAAGCTTTTTATTATGTATTTGCATTCTGTGTGCTTGGACCCATTGAGAAGAATGTCATTCAGTTTTGCATAATACAGGTGATCTCATCACATTGCATATTGATACACTACAAACTATTCATCTGGAACAGCCTATTTCCTTTCATAAAATCAAAGCAGTTTTGCATGAACGATTTTAATTTTGAGATCAGGCATGACCTTTCATGAAGGGACACCAAAGCAAACCTAATGTTGTTATGACTTAATAAATGTTGAAAAAAATGAATTATAATCCATAAATGTTTGCAGAATTTTGCTCATGAAGGAAATTAATTTAAAGAGATAAAAGCAAAAGGAAAACTTCGGTACATGTATGTCCATTTGTTTGAATATGATAATGAGCCACGTTCTTGTACAATTGTTGAAAATATATGTGTTCCATTACAGCAATGACTGTGAACACTTCGGGATGGACCTACCAGAGTTGGAGCTTGCAGATGAGCTCCGAGCAGACATGGCTCAATATGAGAACATGTGGGGCTTATATGAGGAGTTCAATAAGGGCTTACAAGACCTTGCAAAGGAGGACTGGATCTCTTTCAGGTAAATAGGTATTGTGGAGAATTATAAAATCCCTATATGGCTTGCAATATTGAATTTTCTATTATAAGTTTAAGTAACTGTTTATTTACAAGTTTTGTTGCTATGTCAACAGGAGTAGGACATACATGTTTGAAGAGTTCCTCGGCAACTGGTACGAGAAACTCAAAACTGACGAGGCAACAACCATGACTGTCAAGCTTCAGAAAGACATAGAAAAGTACAAGGTACGCTATACTCTTGGTTACTAAAAAGCTTTGCTTTAGACAAATAAGTAACTGCTGTTGGCAAAAAAGGACTCTAAAACCACCATTTTTTTTATGATGGAAATGATTAGTGTTTTTGAATATATCTGTAATCTATCACTGTTTACAAGCTTGTATTGGTACATTATCTTTTCCTGAAATAAGTATGTTTACAATATAGAACTGTATATCAGGATTTTTTCACCCAATCAAACTTTCGCCCTTTGGATTTAAAATCCAGATTCGCCCAGTGTAAATTTCGCCTTTCACATATCTGTACTTTGTAAATTTTGTTGTTGACTACTGTTCTCTGTAAAGATAAATTCACCCTCATTTCAGAGGACAAAAAAGGTGAAAATTAAACTGCAGTGAACATTTCCCAGTATGCAGTATTTATTACTTGAATGTACTTGAAAGTTCATGCGTAGGAAGATGAAGCTAATTTTCTATTGATAGAAAGTGGGTGTTGACAGACACCCTATACTGTAGACAACACCATTGAAATAGTTTTACCTATATTTTCTGGTCTGTTTATTTACAGAATGTGTTGCCAGTCCTGAAGTGGGTGTTGACAGACTCCCTATACTGTAGACAACACCATTGAAATAGTTTTACCTATATTTTCTGGTCTGTTTATTTACAGAACGTGTTGCCAGTCCTGAAGTGGGTGTTGACAGACCCCCTATACTGTAGACAACACCATTGAAATAGTTTTACCTATATTTTCTGGTCTGTTTATTTACAGAACGTGTTGCCAGTCCTGAAGTGGGTGCGTGGCGAGCCTCTGTCCCAAGATCATTGGATGGAGTTGTTCCAAATGCTTGGCATGCCCCGTGGCACCACGCTGGAGAAACTGAACTTCGGAACTGTCCTTGGAGCCAGCGACGCCATCATCGCCAATGCTGATGCTGTCAAGGTGGGCCATGTAGTTCTGATGGCACAATTTGATCTCTGTCATAGATATGGTTGATTACAGAAATAATGTGGCTTTATTTGTTTGTTTTCTAAAAATCTTTTCAAGACTGATACAAAAAAAAAATGTTCCTTTTTCCTTTTTTTGATGAAGGGATTTTTTTTCTTTTAAAGTAAGGGACCAAGACTCTGACTCACAAACCGACATAAGAATACAATTGACATCACTTTTATAAGGGAATTCTTTTATTCCGTTTTAGGAACTGAACCAGAGAGCCCAAGGGGAGGTAACTATAAGGGAGGCCATCCGCGAGCTTGACTTGTGGGGGGCAGGAGCCATCTTCACCCTCACAGAGTATGAGGATAGCAATAAAAACAGCATGATGCTCATCAAGGATTGGAAGGATCTTGTTAACCAGGTATGTTTTCCTCGGTGGATTAATTTAATGTAGATTGTAGAAATTTTGAATTCAGATTTCTATTTTATTGGGCTATGTTGAATTAAAAAAAAAAAAAACAGTGATCAATTCAAACCATAAAACGTTGATATTTTGTTTCGATTTGGAAAGTTTAGAAATGTTGCAGATTTTTGCATCTATTTATGTCACAGTACAAAATTGACCTGATTTTTGGTGTCACCAGGTGGGAGACAACCAGGCCCTTCTGCAGTCACTGAAAGACTCGCCCTATTACAAGAGCTTTGAGGACAAGGCCTCAGTGTGGGAGCAACGTCTGGCAGACCTGGATGAGTACCTACACAACCTTAACCAGATCCAGAGGAAGTGGGTCTACCTCGAGCCCATATTTGGGCGTGGAGCTCTACCGAAGGAACAAGGGCGCTTCAAGAGAGTGGACGATGACTTCAGGTAAGTACATAAATGTCATTGGAAGACAAGCACATTAATTAATTGGTCTGACAACAAATATGCAATCAAGAACAACATACATGAATTTCAATTGGCGCATTGATAATCTAGTGCAATATCTTAAGAGAGAAAATCACTAAAATATGTCTACCACTAAAATATGTAATTTTACATTATTCTTTTACTTAATATTCAATATTAAAAATATTGTAACAATTCCTTCATATTATCTGTTTTCCTTTCTTTATAATGATTGTGGAAGGAAATCTAAGGTGGTTTTAGCATTTTCATCACATTCTCCTCATGGTTATTCTTTGTGACAGGAACATCATGATGGATGTGAGAAGAGACAACCGGGTCATTGCCATGACACAGAAGGCTGGACTGCGTAACCTACTGACCACTATGCTTGACCAGTTGCAGAGATGCCAGAAATCTCTCAATGAGTTCCTGGAGGTACGTGTCATGTTTTGGAAAGTTTTTTCTTACAGAAATAAAATCGTAGCAGAAAAGTTTTTACAATAATACAAAGAAATTATTTTCTGACTCCATATAAGTTCAGGGTCCAATTTGATGTTAACATTTCATAAAATTCACCTCATAAATTTGATTTTCAGGAAAAACGATCCCTGTTCCCACGATTTTACTTCATCGGGGATGACGATCTTCTGGAAATTCTTGGCCAGTCGACGAATCCCAATGTGATCCAGACCCACCTGAAGAAGCTGTTTGCTGGGATCCACAGTGTGGACTTTGATGAAAACAATCAACACATTCTGGCCATGAAGTCACTCGAGGGTGAAGTCGTACCGCTGAAGAAAAAAGTCCAAATCATGCCGGAGGTGGAGGTATATTTGTTTGGTTTATTCCCTTTGTAATCTATTTTTTTCTGTATCATTCTTGGAGAAACAAAGTCCTTTTTTCATGTAAAACAACTAATTTTTCTACGTTTCAATTTAACTTTGAAGAATAAATCCTAGCGTACTTGTGAATATTAATAATGCATTTGCTAAATGTGTAAAATGACTAAATATGATAGATTTGTTATGTATAAATTAAAGTGACTGGATATGGTAGATTTGTTAAGTATAAACTAAAGTGACAAGATATAATAGATTTGTTATGTATAAACTAATGTGACCAGATATGATAAATTTGTTTTATATAAACTTAAGAGACTAGATATGATAGATTTGTTATATATAAACTAAGTTGACTAGATATGATGGATTTGTAATGTATAAACTATATAAAAGTGACTAGATACAATAGATTTGTTATCTATAAACTAAAGTAACTGGATATGATGCATCTGTAATCATCTGTAGGTGTGGCTGAGTAAACTGGCTGAGGAAATGAAAGCCACACTACAGGAACAACTCCGCGAATGTCTACAGGACTCAAAACAGAACCAAGGGGGACTTGACCCCAGCAAGTACCCTTCACAGGTAGGTTTTAACCCCAGCAAATACCCTTGACAGGTAGGTTTTAACCCTTTACATGATAGACAGTAGACAGTAGTATACTAGGTAGCCATTCCTCCTGTTAAGGTCCGCTTTGGAATAACATTTCAAAGCCATGACGCTGATTCTACACTTCAAATATTTTTGAACAAGGTAATTCATGTCTCAAGCATAAATACAACTCCTTGACAATCATACCTGCTTTGCATCAGTCATTGTTAGTTCAGTTAAAATTGTATATTCAAATTCATCACTACAATCTTCTGTTTCCTTTTCAAAATTCAAATTGCAAAAACAAACTGTATTCAGGCTAGTAAATTGCTCACAGCTACAGTATTAGCAGTTTGGGAAAATAAGAGTGATTGCAGAACCTTCCAAAACTCACAGAGAAATTGCTAGAATAGAAACCTTGGTAAATTGTTAAAGTTGGTATGCACTGTAACTATAATTGTCTTTGTTTTCTGTATAGTACTTTTTCTTCATTACAATAGATTACAATTGATATCAGTAAAGTATTCAAAACAGAAAAACCTCCGTAACCATGAGGACTTTTGTGAAAACAGTTACCGTATTTGACTGCAAAGATGACCCCACTCGCTAATAAGCCCACTCCCCACTTTGGCAAATGTCTGGGGAACAGGATGGGTGCCTGCAATTAAGCCTTCTCCCTACTTTTTGTCAATCATTTTCACTGGGGCTGGGATTTATTTGCAGTCAATTACAGTATATAGTATCGAGATGATACACAATTATGTGTTCTGTACTGTAGATGCTGTGTCTGGCTGAACAGATCAGGTTTACCGAGGCGTGCGAGCAGGCCATTAGTAAGGGCAACCTGCCTGGCTATCAGCGTGAACTAGAGGCTCAGCTGGAGTCGTACACAAGTGTGAACTTGAGTGAGGCCAGCGGGGTCGAGGGTTATGTCCTTGACCTTAAACTCAAGGCCCTGATTCTGGACACGATTCATGCCATAGATGTGGTACAGCATCTGATCTCACAGGGCTGTCGTAACGTCCAGGATTGGATGTGGAACAAACAACTCAGGTAATTAGTGGCTCTAGGGCTGTTTCTGTTTACACAGAACAAGTTTGTCTGTTTTTAAATGTAACATATTCATATATGAATCCTGGTGGACCTGCAAGCGTTTATGCAGGCCTTTCAAGGCTTTGTCGAGGCTTGTCTGAAAGCAGCATCAGGATAACTAGGTCCCACCATATTTCATAAACGAACTATTCTGGTCCAACCATTTGGATTGCAATAAAAGTGGCCCTTTTGATTGAACTTTGTTTGACAATGTTGTTTTTTGTGCTGTAAAGTTCCATGTTCTTGCAGGCTTTATCACAAAAATGTTAAATTTGAGAGTAGACCACCAAGCATTCCACAGATATGAAAAGATTGCTTATCATCATCAACAGCCAGCAGGAATGCTCAGAAGATAACAAATAGCATTATTGAGCTGTATTATGTTTGGCTTAATGACATTTAATTTCTATGTATTTACTGTATACCGGGAAGTTTTCACCCAGCAAAACTTTTACCCTTTGCCAGTATCCCTATTTGCCCAGTATTAATTTCTCCCTTCACATTTAATTACTATGTATATAATGTTGTTTACAAACGTGCGCTGTAATGATAAATTCACCCCTATCATGACAGACAAAAAAGGCGAAAATTAAACTGCAGCGAAAAATTTCCCTGTATACAGTTATGTCTTCCCATGATTTCTTTTTCTTTGTATGAAAAGCTTCATAGATCTGTTGCTAGTTATTACCGTAAGTTTATACTTGACGTTGTTTATGTGCTGCAGGTTTTACCTGAAGAGAGACGGTACGTGCGGTATCAGAATGGTGGACGCAGAGTTCGACTATACGTATGAGTACCAAGGCAACGCCCAGAAGCTTGTACACACCCCTCTCACAGACAAATGCTACCTCACACTTACCCAGGGTGAGTACCGACACCAAGTACTGAACAGACATCACTTAATCTCAGACATTCTTACGCCTATTGCTCTCTTTCCTGTGCAGTTATGATAAAACTGTCCATGTCCAGCTAGGGCAATAAATAGATGTAACCAAGAAATTTCTATCTTACATCCGATTTCATGTGCATTATGTCACAAAAACAGGAACATTCTGATGCCACGATGCAGGAACTCCAGCACCTTTTTGTGGTTAACGTTTCTAACCTAGTTTTAGTGATTGGAATGGAGAAAAATAATTGTTCATGTCCAGGGGTGTACCTGAGGTAAATTCCACACTCAGGATTTTCAAAATTGGTGCCAAAAACCTCAACAAGCCTCAAGTTTCACCCAATTTTAAAACCCCTATTTACCTAACTTACACCCTTCGCCGGACATGAAAGAGTCTTATATAATCTTTGTGGTCACTATAGTGAAATATACATAATTCATTGTGAACAATGTTTTCAGGTATGCACATGGGGTTGGGAGGAAATCCCTACGGTCCTGCAGGTACAGGTAAAACGGAGTCTGTGAAGGCCATTGGTGGACTGTTTGGACGACAGGTGCTTGTCTTCAACTGTGACGAGGTAGGTCATTCAAAACTTGTACCGACACTTAAAAAGAGGGTTTGAGTCTCAAGTTCACTTTAACCTCCAATAAACATGTCTGAAAATTATTTCTGAACAACTCAAAATGTTGTCTTCAAAACAGTCATGGCATCGGATCTTGTAAACTTTTTAAAGGCGTTTAAAAGTAACAATAACTTCTTAAAGCTTGTGTCTCTATGGTATATTTACAGTATATATTATGAAATCACTTTATAATAGCAGGGAATAAATGAAAATTTACATGAAGTATTGTAAGTTGAAACTAAATAAGCAAACTTTAAGCTGCTTACTAGCAAGGCAGAAATTTGAAACTGATGAAAATTTGTAAATCTTTCCTATTTTATGCCTGTGTAGGGTATTGATGTGAAGTCAATGGGCCGTATCTTCATTGGTCTGGTGAAGTGTGGTGCTTGGGGATGTTTTGACGAGTTTAACCGTCTGGAGGAAGCTGTGTTGTCAGCTGTATCCATGCAAATCCAGATAATCCAGGACAGCATTAAGAACAGAGTGCCCTTCGCAGAATTGCTTGGCAGAAATGTAAGTCAAAATCATTGGATGATTTTCAGAAATGTTTAAAGCCCTTTATTACACAAGGAAGGAATATTGGAATATCTTAAAATATGCCTATGATTAAGAATCATGTGTGTATATAAAAAACCACAGTGCAGTAGGACAGGCCTACTGCACTTTGTTTATTATATACACACAGTTACTTCCCCTTAACTTCCGTTTGCATATATCTTATTGCACATTTGGGCAACAACACTTGTTGTCCAGGTAGCTCAATCCGATAGTATATCAATCTAACATTCTGTGTTCGTATCCCAATAGGGCCCCGCTGATTTTTTTTACATTCAAAACACTGTTATTGATTATGTCTTGTTTAATTTGTCTTTATTTCTCATAAAAGTCCCGCAAGATAAAGTCTTCTTTTTAGAAATAATTTATCAAAGCTATTGTCATGCTGGTAAAAACAGTTGTCCTTACTTTCGTTACAGTTTTTGGCAATGGTACGGGGTTCCTTAAGTAATTCAGATGATAACTCAATTCCATGCTGTAATGCACTAATCTAGTAGTGATATTTGGAAATTATCGTGTGCTTTTTTTCTATTACTGGACCAATTAAATTTGGAATACTCAAGAGTCAGATTAAACAGGTTTTATTGTATTTTGCACAGCAAATACACCCTAACTTTGATTAAGTTTTTACTTTGACAAATAGATTGTGGATGTTTAGCATTTCAAAATGGTGTTCAGATCACAAATAAACTTGTGAAATAGGACTGAAGTAGTGAAGAGAAAAGTTTGCTGGGGATCAAACCAGCAACTGTAGGCTTTTTTAGTTGGACGCTCTACCGCTGAACTAAAGGGAAACTCCCTCTCGCGAAAGCTAGTAAGGTGAAGTTGACAATGCCATGTCAACTTCTTTTCAATAGTGAAAGAATTATGGTAACAATGCATATCCATTACAATTCAAGCATAAAGAAAACCCTTGCAAAATATGTCCACCGTACAGTATTTATATACCAGGGATCATACATTGTATGTTGTATTCTCTGAACACAGGTTGACATCGATCACAATTCTGGCATCTTCATCACCATGAACCCGGCAGGTAAGGGATACGGAGGCAGACAGAAACTCCCTGACAATCTCAAACAGCTATTCCGTCCTGTTGCCATGTCTAGACCAGACAACGAACAGATTGCTGAGGTCATTCTTTTCTCTGAAGGATTCAAACAGGGCAAGGAGCTTGGACGCAAATTGGTGGCCATCTTCAACCTCTCAAAGTAAGCGAGATGAGGGGGATGAGTGAGGTTTAACTGCCATTGGATTACTGTGTGAAACCAAATCAGCTAAATATGTGAACAAAATTCTTATGAAATTTGTGGTCAGGTCTCATAAAAAATGTTGAGATCCTGTTAAATCTGAGAATTTACATACGTACTAGTTTTTCCTGCAGTAATACATTATTGCGTTTATGTGAAAATATTACTTCCTGCAGGTACTGGCTTCATATAACTTCAGCTGTTGTAAAGAATTCAATCCTGAACAAAATCAAATCCTGTGGGGTCGCATTTACAATTTTCATTCTTGTTGAATTTGCAGATTCTTCCTACTGCAAAAATAACAGCTTAAAATAAGCAGTGGAACGTACCTGATTAAAAACAGACTTTACAATATTTATTTATATACTAGTTTTTCGTGGGGATCTTATCAAACTAAACAATTCGTTGTTTGTCAATTTCCAAAACATGTACAAGATAATGTTCTGAATTTTGATTTATAAGTTATAATCTTCATTGTTTTCATAATGAACAGACCTTGATTATATTTTGAAACAGTTATGAATTTGACTAACAAAAGTTTGATTCATTTATAACATATAAATAATAGTGTTATTAAGAAGATAAAGCGGAAGTTTGACATATCGAGAAATTCAAATCTTTGAAGTTCGATCGAGTGTAGTAGGATTATGCAGATTTAGTGTACATGGAAAGGTATTAAGAAAAATGGTTCTACTGTTGAATGTATGGTTTAAACAGGTTTCTTAATAGTACAGTGTTTATACAGTTAATTTTTACTGCCTAAGATTCTTTGGATTTATTGTGTTGGGATAAGATATCATGTCATGTCATTGACCAAACTGATGGTGTGTATGTTGTCTATGACAGGGAGCTGTTGACACCCCAGCAGCATTACGACTGGGGACTCCGAGCTCTGAAAACCGTCCTCAGAGGATGTGGTAACCTTCTGCAGATGAACAAGAAGAAGGGAAGTGAGTATTAGTTGAAAAAGGAAATCTTCAATTTGTATTCTTGTGTACCTAATTGCAAAAAACATTTCAACTGGTGAAAGAGTGGGGTGGTTTTTTTTGTGGAAACACTGTTTTTGTAGAAATTTTATTTTTATGAAAATATTGGTCAGTGTCTTTTGAAAAGCATTAATATATCTAATAATGTACAAAGGTATTGGGATTAAGTTTTGTTTTGGAGAAGAGATTACAAAAAAGAATATCTGAAAATTGGAATATATACCAACATGTGTGGGGGGGATACCAGACATATTAACTGACCCATTACAATTTACATTCATAACTTGACTCTTAAGAGGTATGTCTGTTACTTAGGCTTACTTTGGAGTTACTTAGCTAGGCTTACTTTGGGGTTACTAAGGCTTACTCTGGACCTGTATTTTTAAAGCTCATGATTGCTTAGGGTCATGTTGCTGGCTGTAGGGTAGTTCCATGTTTCAGTCAAAAGTTAGCTGAGAAGCCAATTTGGTGAGAGGAGAAAAACTATTAAGATAATTTATGTTTGCAGCCAAGATTGATGCCAAGCTAGAAGCCAAGCTGGTTGTGCAGGCTCTCCGTATCAACACACTCTCCAAACTCACCTTCTCTGACAGTTCACGCTTCAATGCCCTCGTGAGTGACGTGTTCCCAGGGATAGAGTTCAAGGACATTGAGTATGAAGAGCTCGCCCAGGCTATACGCACTGTGTGTGAGGAGAAAAACCTCCGCATCAATGAGCTTCAGGTAAGATTGTAGATATTATTCGCAACTTGCATTTTATTTACCAAAAGTTAGGGCTTTGCAAATTTTATCACATATATGTTCTGATATAAATGAAAATCAAATAAAAAAAAATGTTAATGACTTTTCACTTTTTTGAGGTTATTGATACAAGATTCAATGCGAAATAGACCTAAGCATGACCTTGACTTAATACATTACTCAATTGACCTTGACCTTGATACAAAATTTAGTGTAACTTTTACCTTGACACAACATTTAATATAATTTGTACCATGTCAAATACTCCATATGACCATGACTTGACGTCAGTACAATGTTAAAATCACCTTGACCTGATATGACAATGATAAATTGAAACAATGTTTATTTTGATCTTGACCTGAAACAATATCCAATGTAACCTTGACCTTGATGCAGTAATCATTGAAACTTTAACACTGCTAATGTGACCTTGATCTTCTACAGTAATGATTTGACCTTGACTTTTACAGATTAAGAAGTCACTGGAGTTGTATGAACAGCTCAGGCAGAGGACTGGGGTGGTAGTCGTTGGTCCCAGTGGCTCTGGGAAGTCGACTCTGTGGAGAATCCTGAGACAGGGTATGCAGAAGATTGGCAAGGAGGTGAAAACCTACACCATGAATCCCAAGGCCATGCACAGGACACAGGTCAGCTGGGTGGAAATTCTTTTCTTTGACAAAGTGATTCAATCCTTTAAAGTTAAATGTTTTCGCATTTTCACATTTATTTACAAATTCTATATTCTTTAAGTTCAATTTATTTGAATTTTGTATTATGTCGAAATTGAAATGTGTTTATTTCCTTAAAATTGATTGTAAAATTGTCAAGAATTTAGAACTAAAAGTGAAATTATTTATTTCCTTAAAGTTTGTAATATTTTTCACAGAAATTTGAAGTTGAAAGTATTTGATGTTTGCAGTAATTTTTGCTAAAATATTATCAAAATTTAACAAAATTGAATTGTTTCCTTATATGATATCGCTCAATTTTCTATTCTGAAAATAATTTGTAATTCTTAAGAATGTTAAAAAAATTCTTGTTTCATTATCAAGTTGTAAGCAAAACACCCAAATACTGGATATTTTGAATTTTTTTCGAATGAATTTTTTAGATAAGTGATATCTTGTGAAATAGAATTGACATTACTCGCTGTCTGATACAGCTGCTGGGACATATTGACATGGACACACGAGAGTGGACGGACGGAGTCCTCACCTACAGTGCTAGACAGGTGGTCAAGGAACCCAAAGGTAGGACTCATATACAGGTCCTTGATCAAAACCCCAACTTTTGTAATGAGCCTGGGTTGGATTGCTCCCTGATGACCAGAGAGCACAGTTGATGGAGTGTCTGTGTAGAATTTTGATGCCTTGGGCCCAGATTTTCAAAGCTTGATGAGCTTAGTGAGAATTTAATTAACAAAAATGTTATGTTTCATCTACTGTATTTGTAAATGTGTTGAAATTCAAAAATAAAACTACATGTGGGGGTATTTAAAATTACCATATCAACACAAAAGTTTCAAAATAAATGTAAATTTTTAGATATTTCTGAAAAATTGCATTTTGAACTCAACATTTGTGCTTTGAATAACAAGACCCCATATGCCTCTTACTTTGACTTCACTTGTTGATACTAAGCTTGTGTGTTACAAAGTTCAGAGAGAAATTTCTGGTAAACCCTGAATTGATTAACTTCAGTTTTGGAAAATATGATAATTATTTATTGAAAAGTTTTGTTTATATTGAGGTCAATCATAAGACATTACATTTAACTTTTCATCTCAATTTCTTTTCAAAATCTTTTGAAATTTCTTTGACACTCTCTAGAATATATCTTTGGTGGGAAATGGCATGCTGCAGGTACCAGTGATAGCTAACACTCATTTTACAAAAGACAGTCAAGGTTTGATTCCCTGATCAGACAGGAAAAGGTTTGCCCATTCACATGGGTTTTATCATGGTACTCAGGTTTCCTTCCACTTAAAGACTCCTTGGGTGCTGCCATTTGGGCCAGTGCAAGTGGTTGAGATAAGTTGATCAAACTTGTTTTGGAACTATGAAAAAAAACCTTTATTTCATTTTTGTAATCTGAACATATACTGACAGAAATCCAATCTTGGATCATCTGTGACGGAGACATCGACCCAGAGTGGATTGAGTCCTTGAATTCTGTCCTTGACGACAACAGACTGCTCACCATGCCCTCTGGTGAGAGAATCCAGTTTGGTCCCAATGTCAACTTCCTGTTTGAGACCCATGACCTCAGCTGTGCCTCCCCAGCTACGATCTCCAGAATGGGAATGATCTTCCTCAGGTAATATATGGCTAAGGAAACAGAGATTGTCATAAAACCTCGTATGAAATCATGTATTCATTGAAGTTTATTAATATATATCATGAAGTGCATCAGGATGCAAGTCGTAACAAAATTGTACAATCATGGCAAACAGAAGTGTCCTTTTGAATGAACTTACTGAATTGTTTGTGTACTTAAGTGTAATTTTCATATTACTAAGCATCATTGTTGTCAAAAAGGAATCATTTTGGATAAAGAAACTATGATCGATTTATGTGATATAGAAACCATTTTGGAGATTTGCATAAAATAGAAACCAATGTGATTTGTGTGAAATAGAAAGCAAAGGGATTTGTATAAAATTGACACCAGTGTGATTTGTATGAAATAGAAACCAATGTGGATGTGGATGAAACAAACCAATGTGGATTTGTATGAAACAAACCGATGTGGATTTGTGTGATTCAGAAACCAATGTGGATTTGTATGAAATAGAAACCAATGTGGATTTGTGTATATTAGTAACTAAAATATTGTATGATTTGGTTATCAGTGACGAGGACACAGACATGAAGGCACTGGTCAGTTCGTGGCTGAGCTCACAACCTGAGCACGAGCAGCACATCCTGTCCGGCTGGATAGAGGATCACTTCTATAAAGCTGTGGAATGGGTCCTCCGTATTGTAAGTAAATCTTACCTGTCTTAATTACAGGGGCGTGTTAATTTATGCAGAACAACTGGTTCGCCTGTTTTTAAAAGTAACTTTTTGGGGTATGAATCCTGGCAGACCTGCAAAAGTTTACAGGCTCGCCTGAAAACATCATCTGATTACTAGGTCCAACCTTATTTTGTAAACATTCAACTCTGGTCCAACCATATCAACCGTTTGGATAACGATATACAAAAGTGGCCCAGGTGTATGCTATATAAGGATTTAACAGTATTTTTCAATATTTATGCTGGTATGAATGCAGTTACATAAATGTTTAAAGGCTTCATGGTTTATATGAAATTTGATGACTTGCATTAATACTTTTACATTTTAAATCCGTAGTGATATGAAATTTAGTATTTGAAGAGCCTGTTTCTTCCTGGAACAGTATACCATCACCTAAATATTTGGTTCTTATGATGATCTGAAATTTTCCAAGATTGGAAGAGAAGTGTCAAAATGACTTTGGGTTCATAGCCCTATGAATGCAATTTCTTCTGTTCATGTTTATATAGGGATTCAAAGCAGAAACGAAACATAACTTTATATAACAGTATAAAATTTTATGATAACTGTAATATATTTATAAAAGAAAATTATTAAATGTATTTGCCATTATGACCTTGTTGTTTATAATCAGCTAGTAATTCTAATATCTACAGAACGATTACTTGGTGGAGACGAGTCGGATAGGTGTTGTCCTCAACGGTCTGTCGCATCTCCACAATGTCAGGAACAAAGCTCACTTTGCTGTCTGTCTCATCCACGGACTTGGCGGCAACCTCAACGAGGGAAGCAGGGAAACTTTTGCCAAAGAGGTCTGTATAATATTCCTAGGAACAGTGGTATCTTTTTAACAAAAAAAATAAAATAAAAAAATTGTTATACGTATACATTTTTTTGACCTTCATTTTGATGGCATATACAGTACTTAGAGAACACAGTTGGCAACAAACATATTCTATAGTGTGTGTTACCCAGGAGATGTGGGCTGTTGCAAAATACATAGGAGGGTTTGTTAAACATAACATACACACACTGTGGTATTCTTGTTATCTCCATGTGCATGAATGTAGATTTATAGATTAACGAGTTTCTCATTCAACATATATTGATATGATACAGCTTAGTAGAATATTCCTGGCATGCTGTAAAAATCAAAGGTAATTTGTACAAAGGTTCAAAAATCAACCAAAACCTTTTTTTTCCCAGAAAATGTTTCATCAATGAAATTGAAATATTTTTCATATTGAATATTTATTTACTTCTTGTTGTTAATGACAGGTATTTTCATGGACGCAAGAGGCCCCGCCTGACTCACGACGACCCCTGGACACGTACTACGATGAGAATATGGGTCGCCTGATGACCTACAGTATGGAGGTAAGACCTCACTAAGACTGGTGCTTTGGGTGTTTCTGGTATAAGCATGTCGTGACTCTTTATTTTGTGACTCCTGACTCGGATACTTCAGTCTTCATATGACCTTGGCTGTTGCGAGGACCTTAAACCCCCTAAAAAAATTCTTGGATACTTCTTGGGTTATCTCCCCTTATCAAAACCTCCCAACTGGTGGCCTCTTGACATAATGTAGCATATCAAAGGTCATGAAATTCAAAAAAAAAAAAAGTATTTTTTATTGCATGATATGAAAAAACAATGAAAAAAAAAAAAATACAGAATAGTTACTAAGGCAAAAGTTTTAATTCAGAATAATTCTACTTGAATTTTTTTCTACATATTTATAGAAATGCCATAAGAAATCAATGTGAAATGGGTCTTTCAAAGAACATTGAAGGATATCTCCTGTATATTCAATGTTTCTAATTGATATAAAAATTGTTAGCCTTTTCATTTATGTGGACAGAAATACTTTAAAATGTTCCATGTGTATAAGTCTGGTAGACCTGCAAATGTTAATGCAAGCCTTAAAACCCTTTGTCAAACTCTGTCCCTATTTCATATATATATAAACAATGCTGGTCCAACCAGTCAAATATTTGTAACTTGTTAAATGAAAACTTAAATTAAACTGGCCCTAGCCACAAGTGTCCTTTTTTCTGGTGAATTCCTAGTGACTGAATATTGTTTTCTAGATTTCTTCATATTTTCTTTATTAACACAAAGTTGTACTATAATATTTTGCACATACAGTAAAACCTTGCCTGCTCAAACTTGGATGATGAGTCAAATGCCTGTGATCATGAATCGAAAAGATAATTCAGACGTGTACAAGTCAGATTCCCTTCCTAACTCGAACAGATAGTTCAAACTAAATAACTCTGATAGCTGTCCTAGTTTGAAAAGATAATTTGAATACCTGTCCTTAATTAACGAAAAAGGTTTGTCTCTGTGAGCCTTTAAACTGAAGGAACGCTACATTTGGACTGGTTGTGATAAGTCTTGAGTATGGCCGGTTTTACTGTATAATATATATTGTGTATAATTTCTTTCTATTTCTGACACACATGAACAAACACTTCCTAGGGACTATATGTTCTGTGATGGTTAACCTCTGTCTACCAAAGATGATATTGTGTGTTATTCGGTGTTGTATAACTTTGTGTTGTATATAGTGTAATCTCTATGAAGTACTGTATCATTGTTTAACTTTGCGGGGCTTATGTTTTGCAGTTGTCCCGATCGGGGATTAAATTTCACACAACTCCATCTAGTCAAAACTTGAAGTCACTGGCTACTCCTCCCAAATAGCGTACTAGTTACATTATGTCTATACCTGTAAATATGACAAATATGGACAACAGCAGAGTCACAGACGTGACGATTTGACAGTGGGTTTTGTGTACCTTTCAATAAAAGCATGTACATGGAAGTTGATTTTACTTAATCGATTTTTTACAACTCTGGTAAATTCTAAAATCAAATTGGTCTATTAATACCGTCACAGCATGGACAGCTGGTTGAAGTTTGGTCAACTTTGTTTTTGTCAATAAACGGGGGAAATACTTCTACTCCTATACAAGTTTTATTCACAATGATAATTCATGGTAATAATATTTACAGGGTATTTGAATATTGCATAATTTTTGATGACCATGAATAAAGCGAAATTAAATCCCCCCCCCCCAAATAACACCAACTATACAGTCTATAGAGGTTCCACAATGATAATCTGATAATCATTATGCACTATGTATCTAACCATATCTACAGTTTTTTTTAATTGAAACACACTTTTTTGTATTGAGTGTTGTGTAACTTTAGTTGTAGCATAATTTCTATGATGTTGTGTATAATGTGTTGTATTCCAGGTGACAGCTTTCTATAACGGGGTATGCTTCTGTCTGTCTGTCGTTAGTTCCAATGTTCCCAGTATAAAGATATTTACTACTCCGAAGACCGATCTACTTCACCAATATCTAAATAAACCATCCCATATTTGATAAATGCAAAACCCTGATCACTCAACAATTTCAGGAAATTACTATGATTGCAGAACGTTCCAAAATTCTCCCAGAAATTGCCTTGATAGACTTGTTTTTGACGGTAATTATGGTAAAGGGATGAGACGCTCCGAGCAGAAAAAGTACAGGGGTGCTAAGGAGGAACAGATTGCTTTTAATATCAAATATGGTAATTGCAAATGGGGAAAACCGTTTCTGAAAAAAAAACAAGGCTTTAATTTACTGGTTCATCTATTTTCAAATGCCCCATTTTCAGTGATAAAAGCTCTGTGTCTAACCAGTCCAACTGTTTTGAACATGATATAAGAAAGTGGTCCTGCATTAATTTTGAGGATGAAATATTGGTGAAATAGATCCGTTATGTATAGGTAGATTACTTATTGCTGAATTTTTTTATTTTTTGTTCATGTTTTTAAAAGATTTTGTTCAAATGTTCAAATTTGAAGCTAAAAATGTCCAAGCTTTGTTAGAATGGCTTCTTCACTGATATGCTTCTTACTTACAGCTAGAACTCCAAATGAAATATTTTTAGAGATTTTAATTAATATTTGCTGTAGTTTACACATGAAACCTACTGCTAGTTATCCAAGTATAAGTTAGTAAGTTTATGAAAAGCTCACACTTGTCGCCAGGTATATCCTTAGTAGAGACATTATACAGTAAAACATAATCACGATAAACCTGCCTATTACATTGTCATATCTCAAAGCATTGTTTCATAAATATGAAATATTTTTACGAATTTGATCTAAAACAAATTTATGTTTTTTAGTCCCCTTTGGGCCTTTCTAAACATGTTTTACTGTGTATTGTGAAAATGTAAAATCCTCAGCATGGCTTTTACTTAAAAAATTGCATGTACCTTATTTTAGGATGACAATTAAGTGACGCTGCTTATATAAATTGTAGTATAAATATTATACAGACATACCACCCTTAATAGCTATATATTCTGGAAAAGTATACATAATTCCCAAAAGTTGTATCTGACCAGGTGTGTCAGACTCGGAGGATGTCAGATACTTCATGTAGGGAAAATCCTGGAATTTTAGAGCAGTGGGCCATTTCAGCAAGTTTTAGTCAATATAAAAATTAAGAATTGAAAAATTGAAAGAAAATTGTAACATGGAGGGGTCAGTTTCAGTTTAGAGGGGTCAATGGCCCCATGGCCCCCTCCAGGATTTACCCTGCTATATGTATCCATCAATAAGCCCATGTCTGGTAATAAGCCCGCCCATATCTTTTGCAGGTCAGTAGAAATGCCAACAAAAGGGTTTTCATTATCCTGCAATAAGCCCATGCCTGGTAATAAGCCCACCCATATCTATGGCAGTTAAATTAACAAATACCAACAATGCTATCTTATTGTCCTGTAACTACCCCACCCCCTACTTTCAGTTGGAGATTATGTGTTGTCCTGTAATTACCCCACCCCCTACTTTCAGTCGGAGATTTAGGCTACATTCGCGTATCCAGTTGAAACGGTTAAACCGGTTGAACCTGTAAAGAAAACGGTCGACAGGTACAGATTTGGACCGAGGCTGACCTCAGGAAAATTTGGTACGTGTAGATTGAGGGGTCCAGACGTACCTGACCGAAACTAAAATGCTGACTATTGCCAATTTGCGTTATTTCTTTCTTAAACAATGTCAAGTCACATGTAATTTTTAAGATACGTTATGTAATTTAGTGGACGCGTGAGAGAACGGTATAATATTCTTGATACATTGTTTTTTATTCTCCGAAACTGTGGATTTTTAGCTCTGCTTATAGAACGGTCCAAGTGTGTTCGTTTATCGTGGAAAATTTCTGTGCCACACGTACCGTTTCAACCAGGATACGCGAATATAGCCTATGTGTTGTCCTGTTACTACCCCACCCCCTACTTTCAGTCGGAGATGATGTGCTGGCCCCCTGGGCTTATTGGAGGATAAATACGGTAACCTGCTTTATATGAGCAGTTATGTCACTGAGTGTCAAGCTTCAAATGCTTCACAATGACTACAGATATCAATTTTAGTTACAGCCAGAATTTCAAATGAAAGTTATTAGAGAGTTTAATGACTATTAGCTGTTAGTTTTATTACACAGCTTGTTTATAGATAGTTATCCAAGTACAATGTACAAATATTTAAAAAAAATCTGGAAAAATTTAGTTAAACTTTCTTTTATTCAAGTATTTCAGTTTATATAATATATATGTTCATGTTGTAACAGGACAATATGGTAAAAAATCAGGAATTCTTCTAAGTTAAATCTTCTTTCATTCAAGTACCGGTATTTATATATATACAGTATATGGGATTTACCATCTATATTACTTCTTTGACCTATACAGTATATGTATACATGTTGTAACAAGACAATATGGTACAAAATAGGAAATAGAAACAAGTATCTTAGACACTTATGTAAATCTATCAATCACCTTATCGTATAGCACAAATGTTTTCAGGATGGACAGCATAATGTTAACAGTTATATAACATACAAAAAATTTATGAACGGCTCACATTATTCATATAAAATCTTTACTTCAGAGCAGATATTATAGCTAATATTAAAAGTTAACATTCATATTCTGATTTAAATGCAAGTAATGAAAATTCAGATCATTAAAAGTAACACTTGTCATTTATTACCACGTATATCCTCATAAAAGTGATTTAAAGTTTTCAGAATGTTACTTTATTTATACGGAACCGGTTGTCTGATTGGTCTATTTGTTTTTGTCAGACCTCCGGCGATCTGTCTGCAGACAACTTCACAGTTAGCTCCGGCTCGTTACCAGTGATACGTACCGGGGATGTACAGCGAGGACTTGACTACTTCATGCCCTGGCTTCAACAGGACAACAAACACCCCTTCATCCTGGTCGGACCCGAGGGCTGTGGAAAAGGGTAGGTCACATCTAGGGTAACGTAACGCTATAAAAATGGAATTTTGGGGTTTATTTTGATAATACTGTATACCGGAAAATTTTCACTCAGTCAAACATTCACGCTTTGCCCATAAAATCTATTTTTGCCAAGTGTTAATTTCATCTTTCACATTTAATTAATATGTGTGTTAATTATGCTGTTAACTTACATTTGCTGTCATGAAAGATTCACTTTCATCACAAAGGACAAAAAAAGGCAAAAAATGAAACTGCTGTGAACATTTTCCATTTTACAGTAAAAACGAACACTTTTGTACTTATAATTTTAAAATTCCATGATGTTAACACAGTTCAATACTTAAGTAACAAATTAAAATATTTAGTGTCACAGCCTCATAAAACCCTTATAACAAAGGAACAAACCTTAAATTTCTGTTCCATATTTATAGGATGTTGCTGCGGTACTGCTTTGACCAGCTGCGGTCAACACAGGTAGCCACTGTCCACTGCAGCGCTCAGACCAACCCTACCCACGTCCTACAGAAACTCAACCAGTCCTGTATGGTCCTGAACACCAACACCGGCCGTGTGTACCGACCCAAGGACTGCGAACGTCTCATCCTCTACCTCAAGGACATCAATCTTCCCAAACCTGACAAATGGGGCACATGTCAGCTCATCGCCTTCCTACAGCAGGTGGTCACTTACAACGGTTTCTACGACTCTAACCTGGAGTGGGTCGGACTAGAGGGAGTTCAGATTGTTGCTAGTATGAATGCTGGAACTGGACTGGGAAGGCATAAACTGACCACAAGATTCACCTCAGTTGTCAGGATAAAGGGTGACACAAACTGACCACAAGATTCACCTCAGTTGTCAGGATATCCTGTATAGAGTAAGTACTGGACTAGGGTGACACAAACTGACCACAAGATTCACCTCAGTTGTCAGAATATCCTGTATAGGGTAAATAACTGGACATACAAATAACTGGACACACATACTGACCACAAGATTCACCTCAGTTGTTGGGATATCTTGTATAGGGTAGGTAGTGAACACAGGTGACACAAACTGACCTCAGTTGTCAGTTTATCTTATAAAGGGGTAATTTCAAAATTGACCACTTGATGTTTTCATTTTCGGACCCTGCATCAGAAATGTGAGTACCCTCACACAGTGTCCATTTGGCAGTCTCTCTGTTCACGCTTTCGTTTCCAGAGATTAACTCGGAATCCAACAGAAAAATCTTCTTGAAAGTTGTAATGGTGATACACTGTGAAATGTAGATGAGCAATAGAGGTTTAAAATGTTTCAAATGTCATGGTCACTTCTACTTAAAATTGACCATGGGGATACAGTCAGGCACATGGTGGGGCCCTTGCTGACCTGTCAGTGTTTTAGTTATGTGTTAGGCCATTGCTTTCCTTAAGTCAAGTGTCTTGTTTGTGTTTTAGCTTTATGTAATGTATATGGTTATATGTTGTAGTTACCCTGACCATGAACAACTACAGACGATCTACTCGGCCTACCTACAGCCGATCATCCAGAGGCAGTTGTCACGCCATCCTGTGTGGGGTAATACGTCCAAGGTCCACGCCCTGGCTGGCTCCATGGTCCAGCTTTATGAACAGGTAACATACCGATTTAGTCGGACATCTGTTGTGTGGAGGGTGAATTATATTTAAGATGACTTATTAAATGATTTATTTTTATATGTCAGATTTGTTTTACCGTTAAACCCTATTAATTATATGACAAATCAATCGAAAAATGTCAGAAATTATAAACATTCTAAAATAACGAAACAGGAATGGTTGCTTAATCATAACATTGCTTTTACAAGACCGTGAAAATGATTCTTGTCTTTGAAAAAAACAAACACTTTCAAATGAATATTGTCTTGAAAAAAACAAATGAATCTCATCTGGAAAGCCTTTGAAATTAAGTCTAGTGATGAAAACCCCTTTAAAGCAAATATTGTATTGAAAAATACATGAAGCTAGATTTTGCATTAATCAATTTGACTCATTATTTGAAAGGTTTTGTTTTATAAATAACATTTTGTAACTGATTGAGTTTCCCATCTATTTATAAAAAACACCAGACTTGCAGACCTGTTTTTCACAATTTTGGCGGAGACCAATTTTTTGCTGTGGATGCTATTACTTATCCATCCCATCTTCACCTGTGTTTATCTACTTTGACAGTTACGAGCACGCTTTACTGTGGACGACTATAGCCACTACCTATTCACTCCCCGGGACCTGACCAAGTGGTGTCTCAACTTCCTACGCTATGATCTCGCTGCCGGAGCTAAAGAAGGATCCAGTGACCATGTCCTCCATATATGGGCATATGAGGCTAGGCGATTATTCCGTGACAGAATTGTCGGTACCGAAGGACTTAACAAGTTTGACAGTATACTCATGTCTACCATCAGAGCGGACTGGTCTGCTAATATCTTTGATGTATTGGAAGGTGAGATTTCTTGTTGTCGTAATTTATTTTACTTATATTACATGTTTATTTCCAACCACATTTGATCACAAATTCATGTATCTCGCTAGTATTTAAGCCTGAATTACAATATTCAATGCTTACTTTAAACCAAGTGACCTACAAAAGTCAGACATCGATATTCCCAAAGTAGAAAAATAAAATATGTCCAAAACTGATTTATAAATGATATATGCATCTTGCTCTGCAATGTCAGCAATACAAAACTAAAACAGTAAATCTTCAACAAGAAATTTAATACGATGAGTATTCTTCCTAAACCTCTAAAATTTATCCTGAAAACAAAATGAAATATTTCACCATTTTTTTTTTTAATTTTTAGAAGTATAAGTGTTTGTAAAAAAATGTCTGTTTGAGTTGATGTGTGTGTTTTATTATTCAGTGTTTGATAAATTTGTCCCAAAATACCTGAATGGTTTCCTAAAATCAAAAACATAAAATGGAATAAAAAAATCAAGTAATTGAAATATCACTCATACTAAACCAGAACATAAGCATTTATAAATGAAAAAAATACACACAGATTTGAAAAATGTCTGAAATTTCTTGTACATTTTCATTCCAGATGAGTTTTTCGTGACGTGGGGAGCAAGATCGGAATCTGGGGCTCCAGCTGTTGCGGCAGGGGCACCACTTCCACCTAACGGCAAACCACTGGGGAAGCTGGGTGTCGACGACCTCACTGCAGTCATAGAACGGGGACTTAAACTGTATAGTAAGTGTTTTATGGTTTACCATAGTTATAAAGTTATTTTTCCAATTTATTTTGCTAAAATAGACACAGTCATAATGTAATAAAGAAGCTTAACTTAACCCTTTCATCCTTATGTAACTTTAGTAGACTCTACCAAGCATTGATCTGGATGAGTCCATTATGGTTTAGTGGTGAATGCAAAATATTGAGTATTCAACGTTATACAGTTAAGCCTTTTTATATTGTCACCATTTATGCTTTAAGAGTTTGGCATTATAAAAGGGTTGGCAATATTTTCATGGAGGCGTATCATTGAACTGTCAATAATAAAGGTAAAAGAGGACCTTGAAACATTTTGGCAGTAATTAAGGTAAGAAAATGAAATGATGGGCGTTACAAGAAGATTTCTCAGAAAAAACTTTCATAATATTTGTAATTAGCCATTCCTATAACTCTTGTACAATTCATTTTACAGGCAGGGAAAATAGAGATCTGGATATTTTGATTTTCAAAGAAGTGTTGGATCACATGGCACGAGTTGATCGTGTGCTGACTGGCCCCGGGGGATCCCTCCTCTTAGCCGGCCGGAGTGGTGTTGGGCGACGGACAGCAGTCACGCTGGTAGCACACATGCACCAAATGACCCTGCATTCACCCAAGGTGTCTCGAGGATATGGACTGAAACACTTCAAAAATGACCTCAAAACAGTAAGTTGGTAATGAGTTTCTAGTGGTGTGTATTCTCTTTCTGTTCATGTCAGGAAATAGTCAATTGTTAATTGGGTTAGGAATAGAGTAGATTCTTGATGTATTTCAAAAACATTCAGGTGACCGAACATGCAGGCTTAACTACCTATAAACTTACTTTGACCCTTGGAACCTTATTTGAACTCTATAACCCTTTGACCCTTATGACCTCTTTGGTTGTAATGTAAAGTGTAGCTGAATTTAGGCTGAGCTACAAGTATTCTTTGAATTAGACTCCTATGACCCCTGTGACCCTTTATAACCTCTGTGACCCCTATGACCCCTGTTGTTGTGTTGTTAAGTGAAGAAAAATGTAAGTATTCTTTTGAATTTGACCCCTAGTCCCCATGTCAACACTATGACCCAGGCCTGTGACCCTTTATAATCTGTGACCTCTGTGTCCACTATGACCCCTGTGGTTGTGTTGTTAAGTATAGCAAAGTGCATGCTGAGCTACCTGTATTCTTTTGAATTTGACCCCTAGTCCCCATGTCAACACTATGACCCCTGTGACCCTTTATAATCTGTGACCTCTGTGTCCACTATGATCCCTGTGGTTGTGTTGTTAAGTGTAGCAAAGTGCATGACCATTGTGACCCTTTCTAACCTCTATGACCCCTGTATGACCTCTGGTTGTGTTAGCATTGCTAAGTGTAGCAAAATGCATGCTGAGCTACCAGCTGTATTCTTTTGAATTTGACCCCTAGACCCAATGTTAACCCTATGACCGCTGTGACATTTTATAATCTCTATGACCCCTGTAACCATGTATGACCCCTGTTGTTTTGTTGCTAGGTGATGCAGCAGGCTGGTATGGAGGATGAACAGGTTGTTCTGTTGTTAGAAGACCACCAGTTTATAGAGCCACAGTTCCTGGAAATGATCAACAGTCTGCTGTCGTCGGGGGAGGTACCGGGACTCTACATGCCCGAGGAACTCGAGCCCCTCTTGTCCCCACTCCGGGACATGGCCTCAGAGGTCGGCTTCAGGGGCACTCTTGTCAATTTCTTTGCCTCAAGTGAGTCTCAATGCTGACGTCTATATGGTTATAAGTGTGAACAGTTTGAAACTAATACCTGATACTTGATTTTCAAAATCAGTCGAAAGAATTAGAATGCAAAAATATTTCATTTGTATCATTTGAAATGGAGGAGAGGCAGATATTACTATCACGGGATATACACCATCTTCATAGTCAGGAAGAAAACATAATCAGTCCCAGATTTGTATATTCATGTAGCTGTATAACGTTTAAATATTCTGTTAAATATTTTTTTCTGATTATATGCTTCATCATTTGAACATTCTTTTGAGGTATACCTTAACATAAATGTCTAGTTTTGCATTGATAAGTCAATGAAACAAAATTCTGCATCAGAAATTTGTATTAGTTGAACATTTTATTCATGTATATTTCAGGAATCAAAACCAACCTGCACATAGCCTTAGTCATGGATTGTACTAACAGTCGGTTCACAATGAACTGTGAGAGTAACCCTGCCTTCTACAAGGAGTGTGCTGTACAGTGGATGGAGAACTGGAGTAGGGACAGCATGGTCAAGGTAAGTGACCACTAACAATTCTATTTCTGTTCTCTCCTGAAAAATGAGATGTTTATTAAGATTAGCATAAAAATATAATTGTGCTTGACAAAAAATGATGTTTTTAATTTCTTAACTTCAATATCGTGCCTACTGATGGTTTAAAAAGACTGTTCAAAATATTATCAAATAAGATAGCCTTGAACTTTGACTGCTTTCGTTCATTGAGTTCTAAATGGTTAGGACTCATTTGACCAGAGTAATTTGATGTTGTTTCTGCTGAGCCTTGGCAAAGACTTTCAAGGTCTGCATTAACATTTACAGGTCAATCATATTTTGTCACTGAAATATAACGTTTAAGAAAGCTTCAAAATGGTTGGTCACATGGTTCTTTGGTTGTCACTCTTTCTAACCTTATGACCTTTGAACCTTCAGGTACCATATATGCTGCTGACGAAACCTCCCAAGATAGAGGGCGCCAGCATTGGTGAGAAAAAGACGCACAAACGCAAGCTCTCCGGAGGAGAGGACCTGCTGAAGTGTTTCCTACATGTCCACGAATCGTGTGCGGCGGCTAACATGGGGGCCACACCAAGGCGCTACATATCCTTCCTGAATACCTACCAGAAAGTCTATGGTGACAAGAAGGCAGGCATAGAGAGGAAACAACACCATCTTCAGGTAACTAAAGATGGGTGATCTATGCTGGGGATATCATTTCAAGGTTGTGTCACCCTGGAAAAAAAATAGCTGCATCCTACCGACTATGGGACTACTGTGTAGTATGGTTATATTTATGGGGAATTTATCACTATATTTGCGGTCAACAAATACATCGTGAAAATAAATTCTCAGCGAATAATTATTCCGTGAATTATAATCTTTGTGAATATTGATTTACAGACCCAAACGGAAAAAAACTGTTAACAAGTTTGCTGGCAAATAATTAAGATTAAACAACAATTAAACACAGCATAAAATAAATCCCATCGCCCAAATACAAAAGTACTCTCATGATATTTTACCTGGTCATGTAGTGTGAAATTTAACCCTTGCGAACTAGTTCTGACCAGGACAACCGTGAAATATTAGCCCCGCGAAATTAAACAATTATACAGTATGTGTAGCCGTCAATAGGACGTAAACAAAACATACCAAACCAAACCTACCTCTTCAACTCATTTGGTGGAGCGTAAAATTAGTGAACAAAATGTCCAGGGTTTACTCCTAGAGGAGGATTGAAAAAACAACGACCTCTGTTCCACGTAGAGACCCAGGTACCCACGTAGAGACCCAGGTACCCACGTAGGGACCCAGGTACCCACGAGGGACCCAGGTACCCACGTAGGGACCAAAGTACCCACATAGGGACCCAGGTACCCACGAAGGGACCCAGGTACCCACGAGGGACCCAGGTACCCACGTAGGGACCCAGGTATCCACATAGGGACCCAGGTAATACTGATGATAATACTTAGCAATACCATCACAAGAATCACTCTGACCTCTGCAAAATCTGATGAGTTCTTTTCTAGAGTGGTAGTTTGTCACCCGGATGAAATACTAGCCGTTTAGGTCCCGGGTTTGACCGGTTTGACCCCCTAGTAAACCAGAGGTCCCAGGTTTTGACCCCCTACTAAACCAGAGGGCCCGGGTTCGACCCCCTAGCAGAGGCAAAATAATTTCTTCTTTTACATTTATACTTGGGAACAATAATTTATCCTCTAGTTCTTGACGGAAAATTATATGTTCACATGGCTTAATTTTCTACCTAAATTGATTTGACAAATATCACTTTTTTGACCTATGTATTATAATGAAGGGATATTTTTCTATTTTTTCTTTTTTTAAATTCCTTTTTTTACAACATTCTTTCTATATATACTTAAAACTATCATATACATTAACCTGATTGGTGGATACTAATTTCATTTTCAAAACATATTAACGTGTCAGCGGTTCAATAAAAGTTGCAGCCTGAAATTTACAGAAGCTTTTGTTAATTCTGCCCATATCTATTGGTGATGACGTCACTTAATTGTGTCTTATCGGCAGAAAATTTGCATAACCCTCATGTCCTTAGGGATTATAATGTTAGCAGTTTGTACTTAAAAGCATGTTGTATTGACAGGCGGGCGTGTCCAAGCTTAACGAGGCCAAACAGTTGGTGGACGAGTTGAAGAGGAAGGCTGCCGAACAGAGTATACTTCTGGCCGAGAAACAGTCCGAGGCTGACTCGGCTCTCCGTGAAATCACCGTCAGCATGCAGGTAAGACAACATTCATAAACATAAAGTAGAGAAAGTGAAAGTTTGTCATACCACTAATTCCTATCCTTAAAACATAAACAATCTTTTTATTAGTGGTCTATTTACATAGGTAATTTCTGAATAAAGATAGATTTTCATGTGGGTTTCATTGTATACAACAGAATGCCAGCGACCAGAAGAATGAAATGGAGGTCCTGAAACAGCAAGCAGCCGAGGAGGACAAGGTCCTACAGAAACGTAAGAAAGCCATCGACATTGAGCTCCAGGAGGTTGAACCACTAGTCCAGGCTGCCAAGAAAGCTGTCGGAAACATAAAAACAGAATCACTTTCCGAGATTCGATCTCTCAGAGCTCCGCCAGATGTGATCCGCGATATTTTGGAGGGAGTGCTTCGACTCATGGGCATATTTGACACCTCCTGGGTCAGCATGAAGAGGTGGGTCATTGTGTCACATCTGGGAAAACATTTTTATCATCTATATATTACTTTATGCCCCCTACCAGAAGCATCATACATTCATTATCTGGGGGTTATCAGTGTGAGAATGGTTGAGAAAAATTTGCAAACAATTTGAGGAGAACTTGAAAATTGATTTTCTGATTTGGGATTGTTTTCGTACAAAACATATAGTGTCTATTCATGCTTGGTGATGTCACGAACTGGAACCACTATCCATTTAAAAATGTTCTGCATAAGGAAATAATGTATCACAATCAAATCATTATAAAATCATGATAAAAATATAACGAGATAAACAACACCATTTTAAACATAAAGTTGCATAATGATAATAATAGATCTACAGTCAATGATATTCCTCCATGCCAAACTTGTATTTGTTTACATTGGATCTCGTCAATTGGTAGAAGTCAGTTGGAAGATTGGTATTTAGTTGACATTTTTATGATTTTCAGGGTTTATAAGAGCAATTATTTAGAGAAATTTACATACTTTTTACATGATGAAAAGAACTTTTTGTAGGGTTGTTATGTTAAAATGATGTTACTTTGCGAATTAAAAGTTTCCTGGCCAAACGTGGAATCAAGGAGGACATCCAGACATTTGATGCTCGTAAAATTAACCCTGATATTAGGAAAAGCGTGGAGGAACTCATCCGGAAATGCAAAGACTCGTTTGAGCCAAAGGTTTGTGTCCAGGAATAGTTGGATAATTGGCATATTACTGAATAAGATGTTAAAGAATTTTCTAAAAAAGATACCATGGCATTATTTATATTTCGTTTTCTGTGTATGAGAATTACACATTTCAATATTTATGGAAATAAAAAGGATAGAAAAGGAGTGTAAACTGTCTTAATTGAGCAAACTTAAAAATTCATTTATGAAATTTGCATTAACAACCTGTTAAGCCTATCAGACAATGAATGGCAGGCCCCAGAAATTAAGGAATTAAAACAATTACGGAATTTCTGAAGACTTCATTTAGGTAAACTTTTGTGACTGTTACCTTTATTGACCACCAGAGCGCCAGGCGTGCATCCATAGCAGCCGAACCCCTGGCCGCGTGGGTGAAGGCAAACGTCCAGTTCTCCTATGTTCTTGAGAGAATTGAGCCATTGGAAAAGGAACAGAATGAACTGCTCAAGTAAGTTACTTCAAAATAATGTGACCGTGACAAAACTTATTTTTATTTAAGGTAATATGGTACCTTTCAAAGGATGTCTTACATGTATAAGAGTGATCTCCCTTTGAATTTTAAGTCGGTCCCATCACTCAGTCTGTGCATCAAGTTTTTTCCATGTCATATCTTGTATACTGTTGCCTACAACTGCAAAGTTTTGAACATCACTTTCTGAAATTGGGCCTCATACCCATCTATATTGTGTACAGAGTTATGGCCCTTTGTTCAGATTTCGGAAAAAAAAGTTTGGCTGAAGGTTTGGGACTCTGGATAGCTTGAAATACTTGTTTGTATGAGTGTGGAACAAAGTTTGTCTGAAAGTGTGGGACTAGAGATTGCTTATCTTTTTGTACAAGAGTGGAACTTTTCTGGAAGGGATTTGCATTCCTAGAAAAGTAGCGTAGCATACACCCATAAAGGGCTATTTCAACCCAAGGAAAAAAAACACAGTCGTTTAAATTGACTTTATATTATTATTTTATTTCTATATTATAATTTTATAAAAAAATATACTCTTTAAATTTCTGATAAAAAGATCAAATGTTATTTCATTTACAAAATGCTAGTGAAAAGTACTTGTATTCTGGATTATTTTACAATGGAATTGATTCCTGGTGAAAGATATTGCTTTGTGATATGTACAGTTAGTTTTTATTTCTTTTTTCTGTCAACAATTTTATTCAAGGTCGTATATGAATAGGATTGAGCAACAGAATACAACTCTCCTGTTTAAGTTATAGAGATGCATTTGTATGCAATAGTAGTGTTGTAAAGGACACTCATCTAAGAGGTGTTGTCTACGGTCATGAAGTGTCTCTGGGTTGAGGGATGGAAACACTGGCCACTGTAGAATCTCCATGTCGGGAAACCGTCCGATGTGGTCAGGGTCTGGGATATCTTTGAACTCTTGCCTTGCTGTTGTCTCGCCGGAAGTCCGTAGGTCGACCTAAACCCCAATGTGGCTAACTTGTAGAGCAGCTGGCACCGCCCGGTACCACAGTAGTGTAATTCATAGTCAAATGAAAAGTTAGTATTAATTCCTGCCCAACTAACGTTAACACCCTGTCATTTCCCCAGGAACCTACAGAAGGCTGAAGCGCGGATGGAGAAGCTGAAGCGTGCCCTTGACGAGGTCGACAACAAGGTGGCACAGCTTAGGAACAGGTTTGAAAACCTTACAAAGGAAGCCGCTGAGCTGAAGATCAAGCTTGACAGGGAAAACGAGACAATTCAGGCGGCAGAAACTCTTGTCACCAAACTGGAGGGGGAGTACCAGAGGTGGAGCAGTCAGGTTCGAGTTATTTCCGTACATCTGTCTGGTCATTTTAAATCTAAATAGCGATATATGTTGTCTTCAACCATTTCTGTGTGTGATCTGCAAGAGCAGTTGTCCTTTTTCTCAGACTGCGCATTTTTTTATATCTATTTTAAGTTGTGATTTTGACTCAATGAGAAAAGTATACTTTCTGTTCAGAAGCATTTTACAATAGGACGCTCAGATTAGAAGTTATAATTAGGTAGTTGGTTTAGTATTAATATTCAACCGTTTTTCACTATGTCTGCAATCTTAACAAAGATGGAAATTTCATATATTTATCACCATTATAAGATATTAGTCAATTTCTAATGACTCTGCTAGGGAGAACTGCTATTTGGCTTGTTTGATAGAGAAACAGACTTGTAAACCAGAGATCCTAGATTTGACCCTAGCAGTGACAATGAAAAAATAACGACCTCTGTTACCAATTTTTGTTGAAGTCTCACACGTATCATATTAACATAGGTAGGAGAGCTTACGGCCGAGATTAAGGAGCTGCCAAAGCGCACCCTGGTGGCAGCAGCCTTCATCACATACCTTGCACAGGCCCCAGAGGACGTTCGACGAAACTGTATCAACACCTGGCTCGAGTCCATGGGAGTCAGTAGGTTTGATTTCCGTCGCTTCCTCAGCACGGAAAGTGAACAGCTGATCTGGAAATCCGAGGGACTTCCATCCGACACATTATCCATGGAGAATGCTCTCGTCATCTTACAGGTAAATGGAAAGGAATCTAAACAGTAATTTCATTCAGAGATGATCCAAGGGGTCGTAAAGATATATATTATATATATATATGCACCATTCCATGATAGTTTGTGTAGTGTATAACTTACCTAGGAAATATTATACGGACGATGTAATTAGCACAAATGCATGCTGATGATATATATATAACACAGATAATCATATATAAACTAACTCAATATTACTTGGCTAGCATGTTTACTATATATGTATTTACATGTCATAACGATTAATGAGTTTGTCAAACCTGTTAAACATATCTGTTAGAAAAGACAGGTAAAATATAGATATGATGACAAATGTAAATGGACCTAGGATGTTATTTCCTTATACATCCAAAATTCATTTTGGAGTTTATTATTCATAAGAAAAATGTCCTGCATCAAAACACAAATATGGCCAAAATTCATTTTGTAGTGTGATATTCATAAGAAAAACACAAATGTAAATGTAACATGTTGTATGTTGTGTAATCAACACAGTAAAACGTTTGATCACAACAAAACAATTGTACCTGTTTACTGTTTACTGAACTTGTCAAATAAATCTGTATAATGGGTTTGATAAATCTCACTCGTAAACTTCATTGCACAATACACTGTACAACACACTGTACCACTTCGTTATTGTGGATGGCATGAAGTCACAGTTATCCAGTGGGGATAAATAACACACTGTTACTGGATTTTATAATTTTAGGATTCACGAGTTAAAGCTGATTGATCTGATAGGGAAATTTCTAGTTTTACTTTTGACCTGTTTGTTAATGCTGAGTATAACCAGTTCCCCTACTTTTAAAGGCCCCATTCCTTTGGAATAAGCCTGGCAGATATGTTAATGCATGCGTCAGTGTCCTTGTCAAGACTTGACAGAAAGCAAGGCTGTGTCAGTATTTCAAAAACAAACAATTTGGTCCAAACAGTTGGAGTTGTGAGTAATAAGATAAATTAAAACGAACCATCTAATGGGACTTAAACTGACCCCCTTCCTAGGTATCAGACTTAAGGATCCCTGTACCACTGCCGGAAATTTGACCTTTACCTTGCCTGTCCTTATATGACCTTGGCTGTTGTGGACATTAAACCCTGGGCAAATAAACAAAATCTTTACATTGTAAAACTTTTACGGGAATAACAGTAGCTTTAGTAAATCATTTCTGAAAAGAATACATGCTTTGCAGAATTTAAAGAAAAATATTTAAGATGTAAAGGAAAATAGTTTTCTTAGATTGGATTTCCGACCATTAAACTGATGTTATAACTGACTGAGCTACCTGGTCAATTGAAGTGTCTGAACTTGGCTGTGCTTTCGTTATGTTGAAAATAAAATTTTGGGGAAGGTTACAATATGAACAAAAAATTGCAGTGTTTTCCCAGCAGTGGGACAGGGATCCTTAATGGATATTCCTTGAGATTTAGCGGTCCTAGTGTACAGAATGAGGGTATAACCTTGCACACTCGCCTTTGATCATCATTGAGGAGGCGTTTTGTATTTACGGAATGAAGCACGTCCAATCCAGGTTGTCGTATTTACCATGTCTAGCTTGTATGTTGAATGCTTTGTCTGTTTTAACTTGCCGTGTCAGATGAATGAGATACCAGCTGGGGTAAGCCGTATATGATTAGAATGCTTTCACACACGTTTGATGTCGACCCTGCCTCGCTTTGATCCCCATACCACACATCTTTATCCCTTATTTCTTACATTTCAAATGTGATTACCATATATAGCCGTGCACTTCAAATCTCTTTGTCTCAATTTTTTTTGTATTTGTGAGATTTCTTTGACACGTTTTGGTGGGGATCCTTAACCATTTCTGGAACATTTAGGAATATTTGTGAGGTTTCCTTGGTGGGAATCAATAATGATTTTGTTGAGTGCAATGCCTGATTACATCAAAAGTATGATTTGGATACAGCTTTATGTATTACATTAGAATCTTTGGGTTAATATTGAAGATTAAATATGTTTGTAAAAGGAGAATACTACTGCAGCTACAGTAAAACTTTGATATATTGCCACCATTAGTCCAGAGAAATGATGCCATTATATTGAGATTTGGCGATAAATAAATGAAGAAATATACCAGTATTATTAAGAAATAAGTAAAAGAGCAACTTGAAATATTGTTGGTATGAGTTGGCAAATAAAAAGTTGGGCATTATTTCAAGATTATACTGTATAGTGATAAACAGGGGCATTATATGAAGGGTTTACTGTAAAGTGATAAATGAGGGGCAGGTTTTACTGTATACTGACAAATGAGGGGCATTATATCAACATTTTACTGTATATTTACAAATGAGAGGCATTATATCAAGGTTTTACTGTATAGTGATGAATGAGGGGCATTATATCAAGGTTTTACTGTTTATTGACAAATGAGGGGCATTGTATCAAGGTTTAACTGTATATTGATGAATTAGGGGCATTATATCAAGGTTTTACTGTATATTGACATATGAGGGGCATTATATCAAGGTTTTACTGTATAGTGATGAATGAGGGGCATTATATCAAGGTTTTACTGTATATATTGATGAACGAGGGGCATTTCATCGAGGTTTTACTGTTTTCTGATAAATTGGGGGCATTATATCAAGGTTTTTACTGTATGTAAATGAGGGGCATTATATCAAGGTTTTACTGTATAGTGATGAACGAGGGGCATTTCATCGAGGTTTTACTGTTTTCTGATAAATTGGGGGCATTATATCAAGGTTTTTACTGTATGTAAATGAGGGGCATTATATCAAGGTTTTACTGTTTAGTGATGAATGAATGGCATTATATCAAGGTCTTACTGTATAAAACAAAGGGCAATAAATTGAGAGTTTAGAATACTTTTGTCAAGATGAATTATAGTAAAGGAATGAAAAACGGAACAGACAAGAAATGGATTTTTGATGGATGTTGATAACCTCAAATAGCATCTTTTTATTTAATTAGATTGATTTATATTGATTTTACATGCAAAAAGGAAGAACCTAAAAATAAAATTCTGTTCTTTCTTGCTTTCACTTTATTTTTTCAAATGCACCTTTCCTTTTTCCTGCCCTGTGTGGTTCACGGATGTGGCTTTTCATTGACATACAGTTTTTGTAGTGTTCAGCAGAGCCCTAATTTTGCAGTGATCAGGAGTTAACTTCAGCCTCTCGCAATACTGGTGACAAAATGCAACTAGTATGATATTTCTCCAAGGAAAAGATTTTAGTTTGAGGAGAAATTTATGAGTTATATAACTTAAAAACTAGTCATTAGTAACTTATCTTGCCTGACTGATGATAAAAAGAGAGAGAGAATTTGAAGCAATGCTTAGATTCTCATCAATGAGGTTTATACATCAGGGGTAATTAATCTGCCAATGACATTCAGAAAAAATGGGGGGGGGGGGGGATATAGATATGTACAAGGGACACTCGCTTTCTATTACCAATAAAAAAGGCAACAAACTTTTCCCATAGCTCAGTGGCTACAGTAATAGTTTAAAATGTCTACAAGGGGAGCTAACTATAAATTTTACCTACAGATAAGCATGTCAGTTCAGATAGTGAAGGGGTACATACACATCTGTTTCAGAAAGACAAAGGTTGGACGGCAGTAAGTTGTTAAGAATTTGTTGTGGAAAATCCAAGAAAGAGAAATTACACAATTTTCCTTTATGGTATTAAATAGAATTTGAGGACTTAGCTCCCTGTCAGTTTTGCCAGACAGAGTGACAATGCCATGCAACAAGGAATTACAGTCATTCCTTTATAATCTAGCCATCTTTGACCCAGTATCCCGCCAGCTTCGTGGGGACTCTAGTATCATGTCAGACTAATAGATTACGTACGTTTTGTCTGAACAGTTACCTACAGGGAATGCAGTAAGTAACGGCTCTCAAGTTGACGCAGTTGCCAGCGTATGCTATGTCTATTTATACCCACCACTTGTCCGATGGATGATTTTGATGAACTTTTGGATTATTTGAATGCTTTGCTTTCAGTATTTTCTCTCCAAGATCAGAATTAGCTTTGTGGTGCAGCCTTTCTAACTGATTTAGATTGTCGTACATTTCATATGTTTTATGTTTGTTTTGTGAATGTAGTGATTATGATTTGATGTAATTATTTGATTAAGAAATCTAGACCAGGGGCCATTTGTATAAAACATCTTAACTCTCTTGCCTTAAGGGTATATGATACTTAATGATGACATGCACCTCTTATCCAAAAGATTTCTGCACTAAACATGTTCGTAAGCAACAATTGACCTAAGTTAGTTAATCTGTGATACTTTCGAAATATTAAAAAAATCAAATATCTGATCACAATGAATAAATTATTGAAGTGCTAAGGGAGGTAACTCCCAACAAATCCCAGGAATAATGTATATGGTAGCATATACCATTAATTTTCACAGTACAAATAAGGAATAATGTATCCAAATTAATGTTGATTTTCCTTTATTTTTTCTTTAATATTTTCTCTTCCTTGTGACAAACATTAAATTTGGAATTAATCATAAAAGAAGAAATGTCTTTGCAGGAGAAACAAGGAGACTATTAAAATAAAATGTAATAATTTAAATAATTATTAGGGTAGTGATATGGTAATAATTGCTAAGAATATTTAAAAGTGTTTTTCTTTTCAGTGTCTGCAGTTTTTAACTTTGAAACTACATGCACTAGAACTTTTTGTCTGTGCAGCAACAAACAGAATGCTCTTTGAATTTAATTAATTTGAAAAGATATTGTAAATTGGGTTATTTAAGTTGCCTTTAATTTGTTACAAAATTCATCATGCAATATGTCAGCAAAAATTATATTTTAAATCATGTGATATTATAAACCACAACTGTGTTTTAGGCATAAAGGAAAACCAACAGTTGAGATTATACATGAGTTTATTGCTAAATACATCTACCTTACTCTGTAGTACACTTCCTGCTTACACACACATCAATTAGGATTTATAAAACACTTTTGATGAACAGGAATACAGATTTTAGGATACGTATATTGTTTCTCCGGTTAATGGTAACAATAACGATTTCTTGCTCTCCACAGAGTGCCTTGCGACCATTCCTGGTTGATCCGTCATCAAGGGCAACAGAGTGGCTGAAAACACATCTCAAAGAGAACCGTCTCGAAGTTATCAACCAACAAGTAAGCAATCAATATTGTCAAAAAGTTCTGGACTTTTATTGAAGTTATTTTCAAAATAGAAAAATAATAAGTGGCATAAATTTGACTTTTGTAATGTATATTATTACATCAGATACAAATATTTTGCTTAAAAAAATGTTGGGAAAATTGCCAATTTATTCCTTATCAAGTAGTTCATATATCTTGTGATGTTGTAGGATGCAAATTTCTCCACGTCTCTGGAGCTGGCTGTGCGGTTTGGTAAAACCCTCATCATACAGGAGGTGGACGGAGTAGAGCCAGTACTCTATCCCCTACTCAGAGGAGATCTCATGGCTCAAGGTAGGTAACTCTTTCTATACTGAAGGGAGATCTTTTGGCGGCTCAGGGTGGGTAACTCTAAAACTACTGAGGGCAGAGTTCATGGCTCAGGGTGGGTAACTCTAAAACTACCGAGGGGAGAGTTCATGGCTCAGGGTGGGTGACTCTAAAACTACCGAGGGGAGAGTTCATGGCTCAGGGTGGGTAACTCTCAAACTACTGAGGGGAGAGTTCATGGCTCAGGGTGGGTAACTCTAAAACTACTGAGGGGAGAGTTCATGGCTCAGGGTGGGTAACTCTCAAACTACCGAGGGGAGAGTTCATAGCTCAGGGTGGGTCACTCTAAAACTACTGAGGGGAGAGTTCATGGCTCAGAGTAAGCAACTCTCCTGACACGAAGGCGGGAATATCATGGGAATCATATCATGGCTCAGGATATACTGAGGCTAGAACTAATGATTTTTTAAAACAAATTGACTTGTAGAAGTTTTGAATTTCATTTAACGCTAATTTTGATTTTTTGTTTTAATGACACCAGGACCAAGATATGTTGTGCAGATAGGAGAGAAGACCATTGACTACAACGAGGAGTTCCGTCTGTTCCTGACAACTCGTAATCCTGCTCCGGAGATTCCCCCAGACGCATTCTCCATCATCACTGAAGTAAACTTCACCACCACCAGGGCTGGACTCACTGGACAGGTCAGTTGGTCTATCTGTGTTACATGTGTATTATGTAACCTGCAGGTTATAGGACACTAAACAGATTTAACCTGTTGTGTCCCACTACTGTATTTATGCTGAAATAAGCCCAGGGGGCCAACACATAATTTCTGACTGAAAGTAGAGGGCTGGGCTTATAGGAGGACAATGAAAAACTTTTGTTGGCATTTATTCCTAACAGCAATATATATTTGTGGGCTTATTACCAAGCATGGGCCTACTACTGGATAAATATGGTACATTATTTTACCTCTTGAACTCAGTGACCTCTGACTATTATGTTGACCTTTGACCTTTGTGTTTGTACCACCTACCTCTATTTTGATGTTTGTGTTAACAGTTGCTGGCTAACACCATCCAGAATGAGAAGCCAGAACTAGAAGTGAGGAAGACGGAACTGTTAAAGACAGAGGAGGACCTAAAGATCCAACTGGCCAAACTGGAGGAGTCACTGCTAGAGGTAAGGAGTGGGGCTAATGTAAGGGAGAGGCGTCACTTTTAGAGGTATAGTAAGGATTGGGGCTAATGAAAGGAGAGGCATCATTTCTAAAGGTAAGGGGTGGGGCTAATGAAAGGGAGAGGCGTCACTTCTAGAGGTAAGGGGCGGGGCTAACGAAAGGGAGAGGCATCATTTCTAAAGGTAAGGGGTGGGGCTAATGAAAGGGAGAGGTATCATTTCTAAAGGTAAGGGGTGGGGCTAATAAATTTCATTTTCAGTTAGTTATAAATGTTTTATTTTATTTTATTTTCCCTTTGACCTCTACAGGAGCTGGCAAATGCCAAGGGTAACATCCTAGAGAACAAAGAACTACTGGACTCCCTGAATATGACCAAAGCCAGCAGTATAACCATCACCGACTCCCTCACAGAGTCTGTACGACTCCAGGCCTCCCTCGATCAGGTCAGTGTGGCAAATCACTACGTTAAAACAGGATTTAGATTGACAGATATGGAATATTAATTTGGTATTATGAAATTTATCATGCAACAAAGACTGCAAAGGGAATATTTGGGAGCAATATCCATAATGTTGTTCATATTATCAGTCATAATCGAAAGTCAGTTGGGTGAAAATTTCATGCTATACATTTGGTTTCATTTAAAAAAACTTGGCTATTGTCAAGGTTCCCATTATCAATAACTCTGTTCTGATTGTAAATCTTTGATAGATAAGTGAAGGGTTTGGGATGATCAATTATAATATGCTGACAGACTCCCAGTGCTAATCACCAGTGTACTTGGTAGTGGATTCCTGTTTTACTGATATGGTTGTTATTTTGTTTACAACAGGAGAGAAATACTTACCTACCATTGGCAGAAAATGGCAGCACCCTGTACTTTGTCATCAGCGACCTCGCCAAGATCAACAACATGTACCGATTCAGTCTGGCAGCGTTTTTGCGACTGTTCTCTCGTGCTCTCAGCTCCAAACAGGTCAGTGTTGACCAAACTATGTAATAATCTTTTAACCTGAAAACAACTTTTACTAAATGTTCAACTTTCAATTAAATTTGACTTTTTTCACTGACCCACTCCCTCAGAAAATCAACTTTGAGATGATGGTTTCCCCCGACATATTTTGGGGTTTCTTTATTGCAGGAATTCAGTCCCCCAGAATTCCCTGTATTCAGGCATTCATCGTCAGGAGAAAGCTTTTGTATTCCCTGTTTATAGGGATTCAATGGTGAAAGGCTTAACATAAATAAAAAATATAATCATTGGGAACTTGTATCTTTTAGCCTGCATATTTACCTGAATTTCTGTTTGTGATCAGGATGGAAGTGGGACGGACCATCGTATACAGAAGCTGAGACAGCAGCTGCAACAGCTTGTTTACGAGTACGTTTGTCGCTCCATCTTCAAAAACGACCGTCTCATGTTCGCCATGCACATGGTCCACGGGATGAGACCAGACCTCTTCCAGGAAAATGTAAGCTATCCAACTGTTCATTAAATCTCCTGATAATCAATTTTTTAGATTATTTACTTAAGTCATAGTCTTGCATACCATCATACATTTGTTCCTCCCCCCTACCCCCTAAAACAATATACATATAACTACGTATAATTACATATACTCGCCCTAGATGTTATCCGATGTAGCGCAATTATGACGTAAAATTGATTACTCAGTATGTACCCGTATTGGAACACAGAACTTAAATTAAGGAACCAGTGTAAGAGTGATATTAAATTTGTATAGATACACAAAACATTCCTTTCATGTGTTGAATGTGTTCATAATTAAGAAAATGAAAATTAAACAATAATTATTTAATTTTGGTTTCTACAGGAGTGGGAACTGTTCACAGGAATGTTGGTGGGTGAATCAGATTCTCAGCGAGGACCGAGCTGGGTCGACCCAGAACGCATGCCCGCAATGGCCAGTCTAAAGGTTGGTCATCAACTTTAAGAAAACCCAGGACGTTTTGTTAAACTGTGTTTTAATTACTAAATCATGTATTCCTTTGTTTGATTCTGGTAGTGTTTGGTTCAGATAAGTTTCACTTCATTTTCAGATGAATTTATTGTTTTGAGAAGTAGAAAGTCTCAGGAATATATAACTTTTCAAAGTCTGATTTTACAAGATTTGGGTATAAGTCTTTATGGATGTACTGTCATAATAAAAACAAAAACAAAAAATAACTGAAGCAATTTTTGCTTTTCTCCAATGTAACAAATAATAAAGTTTCACATGTACTATGGAAGTGAAAGTTGTTGTGTTGTAGAAATAATTGTATGCTTTCAAAATTGAGTAAATTAGCATAAAAATATCAAAACACAAACACATATTTATAGATTATTGACAAATAGAACAGAAAAAAATCAGAACCATTGTCAATGTGAAAAATTCTACACCGTAATCAGTTTAAAGGGTCAAACCACTGAAAATGTCCACAGGGGTGAATATTGACTTTTACAGTACCGTAACTTTAGTTTCTTTAGATTTTTTTCAAAAATTGTTGCCTATAATTTGTTATTGAACTGTATATACAATCTGTATATCACAGAACAATTTGTCTAAATTTTGTTATTTCTTTTTCCCTCCAGTCCAATTTGCCAAAACTTTATCAGCAGTTCAACTTTGACGATTCGTCAATGTGGTCGAGTTTCTCCCGCAGCAGTGAGTGTGAGACCGAGTTCCCGTCCGTGATTGAGAAGAAGACAACCCTGTTCCAGCAGTTATTGGCGGTACAGACCGTCAGGCCAGACCGACTACAGACAGCTATGGGATTGTTTGCCTGCAAAGCTCTAGGTATGTTTCAAGTCCCTCTGTCCAGTGATAAAGTCTTTTTAAACAAGCATGTCAAGGTTTGATTGGGCCCATCATCTCTGGAGCCTGTTGTTATGTGACTTTAGCTGTTGGGAAGACACAAACCTTGATAAATTTAGACCATAATGTCTCGCAGTAATCATGCTTATTATTGTAAAAGACAAATATTTCCAAATATTTTTATTTTTGCATTAAATCATATATTTCGCAAATATTTGTGGGACAAAATTGAACAAAGAGGAAATATGACAGTTGTTGATTTTGCAAATTAAAATATTTGTAATTATATTTAGAGAATAGTCTTGAAAATGAATATCCACAAAAATCAAGTAAATTTGAGTAAAATTTTCTGGGAAAAATAGCATCCAGCTTATTGATTGTGTTGTTTAGTGCTTTTGTGCCCAGATTCTATCCGACTGGGACAACTACTCACACAGTCAGAATTCCAGGATGATAATAATTCTTATCACATAAGTGAACAACTATCAATAGGTTATAAGATCTTACATTCAAATATCTGAAAACTACAGTGATGAATACAAATGTTTTAATTATAAAGCCATGAAGGAGCTGTCTGCACCGTCTGTCAATCTGAAGAAGCTGTTTGAGACGGAGACAATGGCAGAGGAACCAATCCTCATAGTTATCTCCCCTGGTGCTGACCCCTCACAGGAACTACAGGAGCTGGCCGCTGAGGTCATAGGCCATGAAAAGTACCACCAGGTATGTTAAACCTCATTTACTGTCTGAACAAGAGTTTCCTGTCTCACACTGATCAATAGATGTAGGCTAATTAACAACATAGCTTTGACGATGTTGAAACTAATTTCCATAGTTGTAGGGACATCAATCCATTTAGTGATATAGAATTCAAGTTTGGTGAACTATCTTTCGCAATCTACATATTGGAAATAGATTTGTAAATTGTCAGAGAAAAAAACCCTTTCTATTATTTTAAGACAAAACAAAGTTCTTCTGACACCTGCAGGCATTAAATCTGTGTTGACAAACAACAGGATTCAAATCTACATACACAGGCCTGGAGTGGTTTCATTTTGATAGCCTACTCATATGAATGATAAATCCATTTCATAAATGGCCCGAGTTCTTAAAAGAAAATCCTGATTAAAATATACGAATGATAAAGATTTTGCCCCATGTTGGAAATGAAGATTTAACCTCAATAAGTAATTTGAAGTGTGGAAATGGTTATGTGTATATGTCTTAGAGACTCTGTTGACCTCTTTGTAGGTTGCCATGGGTCAAGGTCAAGCGGACATTGCCATGCAGTTACTGCGGGATTGTTCTCAAAATGGGGAATGGCTGTGTCTGAAGAATCTCCACTTGGTTACCGCCTGGTTACCACAGCTAGAAAAGGTCTGTAATAAATGTTATAACTAAGTGAGAAATCCAATAGGATACAAAACCATCTTGGCTAGTATGATGTATTTCTTTATTTAAATGTGATATTTTGTATTTAAAAGTTTGTTAAGTCATTTTTTAAACAGTTCCAAAAACAATTTTTGGCTTCTGAATTTTTTTTATTGACTGAAATCAAAAAAATATTCCTTTAATTTTGAATAATAAAAAATTTTCATTCTACTGAATGGTAGATATAAAAAGGATACTGTAGTAAATATTTTTGACGAGTTTGTTTGATGGTAACTTACCTTATGCCTGTAGGAGATTAACACACTGAAGCCTCATGCTGACTTCCGTCTGTGGATGACAGCAGAGGTACATCCCAAGTTCCCCACCATCTTACTACAGAGCAGTCTCAAGATTACATATGAGGTAAGTGTGTTCACCACATCATGGCACATGTGTTATCCATACACACAATACAACAATCATCTGGGTACTGAAAGATTTCTGAAGTACTACAGGGGAAAGATTTTGTTAAATTTGTTGGAACCCGATACCAAACATCTAAAAAGACTTTTTTTTCGTGTAATCCTGATAATTCAGTAGTTTTATAGATAAACTTTACTGAAAGTGGCATCCTATATTTGTGATATTAAATTCCGTTGCATGAAAACTTTCTCAAAATCCAAATTATTTGCCTAGAACTTAATTTTCCATCCAAGGGATTTGATGATAGAATGTTCTTGAAGTGATGTTTGTCAAACTTTTTGAACAAAAAATGGTAGCAAAGCTTCTCATTTGATACCACTTACGGTATGTCCATGCAGGAAAAGTCTGCTGCAGGTATTTTCATTTTGCCAAGTTTTCTTGCATTTAGATATAGAAGGCTACATATCTGGTGAGTGGTATTAAATTGGTTAAGTGTTTATGTTAAATTGGTATGTATTTATTCCCCTCAGTCCCCGCCGGGCGTGAAGAGGAACCTGTACCGCTCGTTTGAGACCTGGAGTCCGGAGTACTTCAGTAAGACTGGCAGTGTGATCCGCTCCCAGGCCTTGTTTGCTCTCGCTTGGTTCCACGCTATCATGCAGGAGCGACGAGTCTTCATTCCACAGGTTTGTTTCATCAGTTTTTCATTGAAACCTGTCTAATCTGACACCTTGTGTGACACAACATATTGGTCAGATTGGACAGGATGTCAGCATATAGAGATCTTTTTTGGTAGTTTTTATAAGGAATGGATTACAGCTTTATTTTCGATTAAAGAGGATGTTGTGATACTCATTGGTCTTATTGGACAGATATACAGGTCTTCCTGAAATTGCAATAAATACATATCAAACTTGGATTAGCAATCTGTGTACTTAATCTTTTTAAGTTCATGCATTTGAATTACAAAAGCAGAAACGAAAAATTAAACAGAACTTTTTGAGTAATCTCCTTACAAAATACAATTGCCTAAATGTATTTCTTTAATGATCCAAAGTGTCTGTTATGAGATATTTTCATTAAAATCAATCATGAACTTTTTACTTTCAGGGTTGTATATTGTAATGTTTTACCATGTTTGTGTGTTGTATCTGCAGGGTTGGACCAAGTTTTACGAGTTTTCTCTGTCAGATCTCCGAGCCGGAGCAGACATCATTGATCGACACTGTAAAGGCAGTAAGTGATCTATTGGCTACAGTTGTATGGTTCATGCATCATTTCCATTTCTCTTTTTTCTTGTCACTTCATTTCCGAATTGACATCAAACAACACCATTGTGCTACCATTCTATAAAGTAAACACTTCTGTGGAAAAAGAATGAGGGCGATTTTGATTGCTTTTTATACTTCTGCTTTTAGTGTTTGTGATTGATTTTCCTAGCGTCTTTATGTTGTTTCTTGCCTGGTTTTTCTCTCAACATTCTCAGTCTCTCCTACTCCAGGTCAAGATGTCCAGTGGCAGTTTATCCATGGCCTGTTTGAGTTTGCGATCTACGGCGGGCGTGTGGACAACACGTTTGACTTGCGAGTGATGGTGTCCTACCTGAAACAGTTCTTTGATGCAAACACACTGTCGCCCCAGAACAGGAATAAACGACTTGGTCCGATCCGCCTCCCGAACTCCACAAACATATCCGATTTCACTGCTGCAATTGCTGAGCTGCCGGAGTTTGACAACCCGTCCTACTTTGGTCTCCCAGCCAATATTGACCGGTCAGCCCAGCGGATGGTCAGCTCACAGGTCATCTCCCAGCTCAAGGTCCTGCAGCGTGCCAATGTCAAGGCCAGCAGGTTTGACAAGGAGGTTTGGGCCAATGAGCTCAGCCCGATTCTCAACCTCTGGAAGACTCTTAACAAGGTACAGTAGACAGTTAGTGTAGGGTAGTCAGGGATTAGTTAGTTTCTGGTTCCCATAACGATCCCATAAGGGAAACTAGAAATATGGGCCAAGGGAAACTAGCAACATGCTTTTTCCGAATTTACAATATAATCTTAAAACATTTCACTTCACCAAAAACCTATATAGTAATTGTCAATGATTATTCCATATTGTAAGAAGTACATTGAAGACATGAAATATCACTACTATGATTATTTAACAAATTCTATTGAAACAACAAGTTTCTTTACAGAAAGTCCAAATCACATCTTCTTGTATTGGTAAGATAACCAATGCAATCAGGAATTATTACACAAAATTTTATCTATTTATTGCTGCCAGTATATTTAAAAATATTTCTGAAAATCCCCCAAAAAATTACGATAAATGGTCGTGACCCAGGACTGGTTTTGAATTGTTTTCGAGTAAAATGCACACTCCTTTCTTGATATTATCATTTTTCCCTAAAAAAGTGCACACTTTATGTGAATATTTACGATAGAAGTTACTTGACAATATTATATCCATTCTGACACCAGGGCTCCCAGATCATCCAGATGAGAATTAGTCCACCGGTGGCCAAGTCTGGACAGGATTCTCCAATCCTGTCCTTCATCGCCTTGGAGCGTTACAATGCAGTGAAGCTCGTCCAGAAGATCCACCACTCTCTCGCCTCGCTGAGTAAGGTGATCAGGGGCAGTCAACTTCTGACCAGTGAGGTCCAGGGACTGGCCGCAGCCCTTCTCAACCAGGAGGTAAGGCAGAACAGTATTTTCTTTATAATTCAACCTTTACACCCCTATGCAATTGCAGTAAACTGCACCATGAGTTGATATGGACAAGTCCATTATGGTCTAAAGGGGTGAAAAGACCAATTTACATATCCAAGACTTCATCATTTGAAGTAAATTCACTATTAAGTTGTCAGTCAAAACAAATTTCTTCCAATTTAAAGGGAATTCTACAACTGATAGGAACATCCTGTCTTAAGAGACTCATTTTACATATCAAAGATTTCCTAATTAAAAGTAAATTAAAATCGAACAATTTATGAGTGAAAAGCTGTCTTGAAAAACCTGTAATACGTCCTATCCAAGATTTTATAATTAATGAGTTGTAAGATGTTGATACAACTTTCAATCCATATTTGATTTACTGTCTTATTATCTGTGTAATTTCAGATAAAATATATTATGTATGCTCAACATTAGTTAATGAAACAGGGGGGCGGGG